CATTCCCTTGGAACTCTTCTGAATCAGTACATTTTAGTTGCTGTTTCTGGCTACCAGCTCCTCGAGTTAGGAAAGAAACTCAGATCTTACTCAGGACAGTTTCTGCTCTCCATTCCTCACACTGCTCAGTGATCTCTAAGAGATCTGCTCCTCTACAGGATCCCATCACCGCCGGTGTGTTCCCAGCATTTGATGTCCGACCGTGCACTGAGTTTGCTAAGCTCTCCTAATTTCCAGCAGGGGCTCCTCTAGTCAACTCAATCCCAACAGGCTCAAAGGCCAAGCATCAGTTCATTCATTTGTTAAATATTGGCAGCTCGAAGTATTGGTATGAGAAGAGATAGAACTATTTTCCCTCTGTCTTTCCAAGCTCTTGGCTAGGGCTCCTAAAGAAGAAAAAAAAAAAAGGAATAATCAGAAAAAAAAACCTCTAAGTTTATTAACATGCCTACCTGATACAGATCTCCAGGGAATAACTGACCCCCAAAGAAATGGCTTTGAACTCAGGCTAACCCAGCATCTTCAACAAATAATAAAAACAAAAACTGCAGATGACAAAGAAAATGACCTTAGGGCTCACAACAGCAGCCAGCTGTAATTAGGCAAACATGGGAGACTCTAATAGTAGGAAAAGGTTAGTAAGTAAAGTTTGTTATGTAAATTCCTCTGAGGGATGAGGATTGATGGTCTGGTGACTCGCTTCAGTCATTCCTTGTAGAGAAGGAGGGACTTTTTTTTGGTAAATCTATTTTAGACAACCAGAGGAGAGGCAGGGAGCTTTTCTTGCTTCTCCTTCTCGATGGCTTCCACGCAAAATAACATTCATGCAAAGGCGCGTGTTGGAATGGCCCATCCTGCTTCCCTCTGCAGGCAGAAGAAACAACCAGAAACCGGGTTGCCCTCCTAGAACCAATAAAGGAGAAGGTGTTTAAGGAAAGAGGTAGCGTCTCTGGGGAACACCCAGGAGACATTTCAGGGGCAGCCCATCTGTAGCCTTGGAGGCCTGAGCCGCTTTGTCCCCTTCCCACATGCACGGAGCGGGAGGCTACTTCACAGCCGCCCGTCCTAACAGATTCAAGAAAGATGCTTGGAAATAACACGCATCAAATAAAAGTCAACGTGGAGCTGAGGACAGGGAGGGACAGGCAGACCCTACGCTGGAGCAATGCTAGCTTCCTCCCTGAGGACGCTGCTTCTCTACTGCAGGAGAAACCACGCCCAGGTGGTGGGAGCCGCTCTAGGGGGACACTGTCAGAAGCATAAATAGCAACAGTGTGGAAAGCCAGCTCCAAGCTGCTCAAGCTGATAGAAAGCTGCTTTCTAGGGAAAAAGGGTTCCCCACAGACGACATAATCCAGGCTGGTTTGATCCCAAACTTTGCGTCCTCCTTGGGCAGAACTGACTAGTCAGCCCAGCTTGAATCCTCCTGGATGGTCAGAGACTCGGCTTCTCGGCCATCAGCCCACACCGAGGCTGCCGTGGGTGGAGGTCTTTTCCTACCTCTGTTGGCTAGGGCTAGGGCTCCCACCTTCTGTTGGCATCACGCAAGGTCCCACCAAGAAACTGCCAGCACCTCTTGAAGTTCCTGAGATGTTATCTTCAGAGCGCACTTAGATGATCTGAAACCTCTGTCCCAACAAGAACCTTGCACTGCTGTTAGATGCTGCTGAGTAAATTCTCCCTGCTATAGTTCCCCTATAGCATCAGAATGATCCAGAAGGATTAGGAGATGCTGCTGGGCTGTTTCTCACCTTATGGTGAAACAGCGATGAAAACATGAGTCAGCTGCTTCCTGTGCTAAGAACCATACAGACGACTGAGCCGCAGGGAACAGATGAACAGAGGAGAGGGAAGAGGCCATGACGGACACACAAGCACCCGCCATCTTCCGCAGCCTGCTGACCACCCCACAGCTGAAGCTGGGAAGGCAGCTGCGTGGCCAGTGCCGAGCATCACGCTGGCCGTCAGGACCTGAGACGAGGTCTCAGTCACGGACCATCCCATTCCTCACTGACGCGTCTCAAAGACCGCTTCAGGACACAAAAGGGAACATGGCTGCGATCAAATACACAAGTGGTAGAAAAGCTAATCAGATAGTACATCTTGCACACTGCAGCATAATAAAACAGGTTCCAGTCGGGGCAACTCAGGAAGACTCTAGCTCAAGTTTATAAATAAAAAGTAAATAAGCCACAGGCAAAAGAGTGTAGCTCAGTGATAGGGACTTGTCTAACACCATGAGGCTCTGGGTTAAATCCCAGTACCAGAAAAATTATTACCTAATTAATTTAAAACTATAAATAAATTTAAAAAGAAAACCAATGTCTTCACAAAGCTGAATACATAAAATTCTCTCCAATGTCAAGGGTAGCATGCCTGAAAATATAAGACTTGGGAGCCTGGGAGTTTCCTGTAAGAGTAAGTTTGAGTCAATGAATTTGATAACTAACCAGAACAGCAGGCAGCAGCTGAGGCGGTCCCCAAGGCCATGGGCAGCCTCTGATTTGTGTTTAGTTGCTGTAGGACCTCGGGTGTGACACCAGGTTACGAAAGCCAATCCTAAGAAATAAATTAAGAAGAAAAAAGAAAAACCACAGGCAATAGGACAGAGCCAACATTTAACTTTTAATGCGTTCCCTGAATTAAGAGTCCAGAGCATAATAAAGAAACTTCTTGGCCTTAAATTAAAGAATGTGCAAGGGAGCCTCACACTCACTGTTAATGTTCCAAGTACTGTTCTGTGGGCCTCACAGGCATGAACTCATTCCACTGCCTTCACAGTGTGCGAGGCAGTACGATTGCTTGCACTGATGGACGGACAGAGGAAGGCCTGGAGACTCAACTGACTGCCTCCAGGTCAGAAGCCAGCCGCGGGTCAGACCTAGCGAGGCTGACTGTAGACTGCACAGGCTACAGGGAAGGAACTGCCTTGTGCACAAAGGCCGTGTACCAGGAAAACTAAAAGAAACCAAGGCAACATCGGACCAGAGTACCAGCCTCCCCAAGAGGAATGGACTTTCCTGTGATTCTACCCAGTGGACTCTCCATGGGAGGGTGAGAAACAGGCAAGACACGGCCAGGAGTTTCAAGGAAATGACACGATGTTTCAATGTGGTTGCCCAGGAAGTCACCTGGGATCAACGGGCAACCTCTAAGCCCAAGTGGACAACCGGAGCGCAGTGACTTCACATCAGATGGTATCACCCAGCACCTGGTCATCTGTCCGGGCTCCTACACAGAATATACAGGCCTTGCAGTCCGGGAAATGTGCGTAAGAATCCTAGTTTCATTACTTAACTATGTGTTCACAGACAAAAAAGACTCCCACACGGAGGAAGGACAGATGCCTCTTCAACAAATGGCGCTGGGAAAACTGGCTGTCCCCACATGCAGAAGACTGAATCTGGACCCACAGCACTCACCAGGCACTACACTAAAATCAGAGATCTCAATAAACACAACACTGCATCTGCTGGAGGAGAAAATGAACAGACACTTCTCAGAGGAAGCACAAATGGCCAGTAAATACAGGAAAAAATGTTCAACATCTCCTGCCATTAGGAAAGTGCAAATTAAAACAACAGTGACATTTTCTCTTACATCAGAAAGAAAAGTTACTGTCAAAAAATCAAATAGTAACAAATGCTGGTGAGGCCTGGGGAAAAGGAACCCTTCTGCTTTGTTGGTGGGAATATAAACGACTCCTACTGCTGTGGAAATCAGTAAGGAGAGTCCTCAAAAAACTAAAAATAGAAATTCCAATTCACCCAGCTATTCCCCTTCCAGGTATCTTCCCAAAAGAATCAAATATTATCACATCACAGTGATTCACGCACACCTCATAATTCCTAAGTCCTGGAAGCAGCCCGTGTGTCCATCAACAGATGAACAACCAAAGAAAATGCACTTAAACGCGACGGAGTACTACCCTGCCATAAAGAAGGCTTGAGTCGTGTAAGAAAATGGATGCGTCTCGAGATGACAGTGTTAAGTAGAGTAAACCAGACACACAAGCTTAAATACTGCTTTTATATGAGAAACTCAAAATATAAGTACAGACCAAAGTAAAAGATGAAAGAAAACAGGGAGGGAAGTCTTTGGCAAAAGGGAAGGGACCATGAGATGAGGTGAACAGGGTAAAACTCTTGAAGGTGAGGAGGTTGAAAAGGAGCTGGGATTATACACACTGAGCTCACAGGGAGGCGACTTATGCACTGCAAATATGGATTCAGAAAAATAAAAACTAAAGAGCAAATGCAGAGGATCCCTCTGTACTGTAGAGGGACTAAGCACAACAAAATACATAAAACATCGCAGAGTAAGGGACACTGTTTAACAAAGGTTACCTCCATCTCTTTGTTCATTATTACCAGACGTCTTAACACTTTAAACCTCTAAAACAAGTACAGTAATAAAAATAACCTACAAAATTCCCCACAAATGACAACATATAGAAGGCTCTAAATGAAAACACTTCTAGCATGAAGCTCATTCAGCTGCTCAGCTAAAACTGAGAAAAATGATGTCTGACTTCATTTTCTGTTCTCAAAAAGGTGCTGTTAGACTTGTAGGTCCATCTTTTATCCAAAAAGGAGCCTAGTAATTAAACAGGTGTCACAAATAAGACTCAGAAGTGGTACAACTGAGGACCAGAGTGGAGACTGAAACTCCTGCCTCTTGAAACCAGACCCATTCATACATTTTTGTTCTCTTTCACAACCAACATTCATGATGCACAGATGAAAAGTCCAAATGCTAGGTAGGGATAAAACGTTTCCACAAACTATGCAAAATCTTTAAATACCTCAAGAAGATGGAAAGAATTTCAGTGAAGACTGTGATGTGTACTTCAAGTTTAGTACAGTGTTTCTTTTAAATAACAACTTAATGTATTTTCATACACACAAAATCAAGCCTGACTGCAGTCAAACAGCATGAACTTCAAAAGCAACTATTTTTCTTTGACGAAATCAGCAAATAAACCAGCCAAGACTGTCAGAGTCATTTCAATCTAACATTTTATTCAGTAGATAAAAGTATGTGGACAATTTGTCAACAATATACTTTTCTAACATTACCAAGTTAAAAAAAATTTAAAAAGACAAAACATTATATGACTCGATTTATATGAAATTCTAAACAAATAAAACTTGTGACAGAAAGTAAATCACTATTTGTTAGGGCCCAGGACGAGGGAAGAGACCAACCACAAGGGGACACAGGATGGGAAGGTTTTCTGTCGTGTTATGGCGGTGAGCAGACAATGGTCCATGTTTTCAAAACTCACTCTGCTACACAGTGTATCGGAGAACTGCACTATGTAAAAACTCTATCTGAACATTAAAAAGATTATATATAATAAATCAGCATACTTTTCAAAATATCACTTCAGTCAAAATATTTTACTCAGCAGGGCCAGGGTGCAGCTCCGTGGCATAAGCAAGGCCTGGGTCTCATCCCCACCATCACTGAAGAAAAAATGTTTTTGACTCAGTAGAAAAATAATTATTTGTAGAAAATCTGTAAATAAAAAAAAAGTCTTTATATAGACTTTTTCACAATTATAAGCAGTGCTTCTAAGGACTACCTTTTAACTTTGTTCTAGAAAAACCAGCAAAAGCAGGAAGTACTTGGGAAGTAATTCTTCCAGCAGCTGCAGCCTCCTCACCCTGGGGAGGCTGGACTGGGCGGGGCAGCGCTGGAGCCCTGCTGCACAATCTCACCTTACCCCAGAGGCCAGGAGCAGGGCAGCCAGGGGCCCTTAAATCACGAGGCGGAGGAGGTGGCTCCAGGCCCCACCTGGCCATGCAGGTGTCAGAGGCAGGAAAAGCAGAGGCCTCAGAATACCAGTGGCTTGTGAGATTCAAAGAGGAGGGTGGAGGGTGCAGCTCAGAGTGCAGCGCCTGCCTGGCAAGCCCAAGGTCCTGAGTTCGGTTCCTGCCACCAAAAAAAGAAAAGCAGAATTCTGGACTTTAACTCACAATTTTCTGTATTTTCTTTTCTTTTTTTGGTTGCTGTTGCTGTTTGTTTGAGTCAAACAAAACACATGCGAGGGCAGGATTATGACCTGTGGTCCACAAAATGACTTCGGAACCAATCAACAGCTTCTCCGCAGCTTCATTCTAACCGCTTCCCTCTTTAACTGTGGTCTGGGATTCTGGGCTATCAGTGCCACAGCGGTAAAGCCGTCTTGGGATTACACGAAGGCAGATCTCACTGGTAAGAAAAGGGCCGGAGGGCTGGGCCGCAGCAGCGCCGAGGCTTTCGGGCCACCTCAGCACCCGGGCTCGAGGGCCACGAAATAGTCCACGTGCTGAAATTTCAGAACTTCGTTGCCCCAGCTGGTCCAGCCCGGCTGTAAACTTCGGGCAAACAATTCCAAACACTCCCCACCGGGCTTGATATAGTCTTTTAGAACCTCTGTTGAAAAGAGAGGGGAAAAATCATTATCAGCAAAGAAACCCATTTCTTTTTAGCACATACAAGTAGAAGAGGAGGAACATTTTGCTTCTGAAAAGCAAATTAATGTGAAGAATTTTACCACGGGCGTTACTATTTATAGTCAGAAAACAATCTGAAATAAGCATCCTTGAGATTAGGAACAATACCTCAGAACTTCCAATAGCCCTGATTTATTGGCTTTCATTTGTCTATGAGAAGTGAAGTTTTTAATAACCACAATCTTATCGACATCTCCTGAGAACTTACTTAATAAATCTAACCCATGCACGCAAAAAAAAAGAACTATACAGAAACAATACAAAGATAACCCACCTTAAAAACAGAGATAAATGGGGCTGGGGATTTAGCTCAACTGCATAAGCACCTGCCTTGCAAGGGCACGGCCTTGAGTTTGATCCCCGGTACCGATAAAAAAAAAATTATAAAAAATAGAGAGATGTCTGTCATATATACTTAGGTTAAAAAAAAGAAAGAAAGAAATACGTAGAAAAAATTAACAAATAACTACAGCCCCTCCAGCTATGATGTGGGAATATTAAAAACACTCCCTTGTGTTCAAATTCTAAATCTATCTTCACCCAAAGTTTTACTGTGTTATTTCCACAATTAAGTTGTCCTGGTTTGCACATGAACAGCTATTATATGGGAAATTACATTTTGTTGGAGAAAGATATCTCACATATATGTTGGCTAAACGGCTGTGACCTCCACTGGAGGAAAGAACAGCACAGAAGGGTGTTTTAAAAACATAGCTGACATGGACGAAATGGATGACCCTGTCGCTGGTTAGCTAGTGTACCACACATCAAGAACTGAGTATAAAAATAACAATTCAGCAAAGACACCAGAAAGACCATAGTCCACAATAGGTTGAGTTTAGCAGAAACCAACTATTGGCTCAGGTAAGGTCTGAAAGCTGATATATCTCTTATTTTAGATTTGTTTTGTTTTGGTTTTTTTGGTACCGGGGATCAAACTTTTGACTCTGTGCTTGCCAGGTAGGCGCTTCTGCTGCGGAGCTAAATCCCCAGCCCCCTTATTTTAGATTTTATGATGCTCTTCAATTGCCCTCACAGCAAAATAGTTGCTAATTTGTCCAAAAGTGGTGATTCTGCTTATCAAGATTCAAGGAAAAATTAAAAGTTTTTATCATTATAATTAAACTGAATTCCAATGTGGGCTTTGACAGGCTCTAGAAGATACTGGCATGAAGGAACCCTAGTCCTTTTGTAAGCATATAATTAAATGACACTAAACTAGAAAGAGGAAGATTTTTCCAAGTCTTCTCCATTTTCTTTCCATATATTCAAAGCCTCACCAGCCTTCACTCATTATTACTGCGGTCTAAGGTACAGAGGCTAGATTTTCTTTCTAGTATGCTGTTCAGATTTTTGGAACAAAGACGTGAAAGGAATTTTATACAAGCATCAGCCACCCAAAAATACTTAGTATTCTGGGCACCTCTTACAATCAGTGCCAATGGACTTAAAGTAAAAGAAACACACGTTTTATAGCAGCTTACAACCTAAGAATGGCCTAGTATATGGGACCTAAACCATTTATTACCATCCTTTCTCAGTGTAATGTGTTTTACATGTTTTTTTTTCTTTTTAGTTGGAAAAAAATCAAATACTACTTTTATAACATTAACTACATTTCATTTTATTTCAAAACAAGGTGAAAGAAACAAAGGCTAATTCAGTCAGGCATAGTGGTGCCCACTGGTAAAACCAGCACTCCCTGAGAGGCCGAGGCAGGAGATGAGGAGGTTCAACCCAGCCTGTCTCAAAATGAAAAAGGGCTGGCTTTAGTTTGTTTAATGTAAACATAAATGAAGATATGGATAACTGCCTGTATGTTTAAGTGTACAGGACTGACAACCATGTTACTAAGTTTTTGTTGGACAGCTGAACAGAACTGTTTGCAGTCTCGCTGTTTGAATTCCCACTTTATGTGTTCCATTTTTGTATCTTGAACAACTATTTGTAAAACGACAATATGTAAACATCAACTAGTGATTTCTTACTGTTTATTTTTTTCTCTGAACGTATGTATTATTTCTACCTGTTTTCTGTTTTGTTTAGTCTTTCTTTAAATAAAATTTTTTTTAAAAAATGAAAAAGGGCTGAGGATACAGCTTAGTGCAAAGCCTGTGGGTTCCATCCTCAGAGAAAGAAAGAAGAAAGAAAGAAAGAAAGAAAGAAAGAAAGAAAGAAAGAAAAGAAAAGAAGAGAAAGGAGAAGGAAGAAGAGAAAAACAGATGAGGAGGAGGGAGAGAAGGAGAGCAGGAAGGAAGGAAGGAAGGAAGGAAGGAAGGAAGGAAGGAAGGACAAAGAGAGAAAGACAGGGAGGGAGGGGAGGGGAGGGAAGACAAACATATTATTCTTATTGATTTAAAGTAACCAAATGATAAGTAAGTAAATAAAGTAACAACCAAAAACCAACTCAAATGCACACATTTAACCACACACTTGACCCACAGACAGCTGGACAATGACAGCAAGCTTTTTTTAGCAAACCTCTAACCACAGAGAGGCAGCAATCCGCGCAGGGCCCTTAGTACTGAGTAGAAAAAGGAGTGCAAACCTCTGGTGCAAAATAAAGCGATCCAATTTTTGATTCAAATACTTTTATTTTATAGTTTTCCTACGTTAAATCTTTAACTGAATATGCATTTATACTGATAGACTGTAAGCCATCACTATTGGTGATCTGTCTGTTTTCAGGAGGAAACTTCATAAATGTATCACTTTGACATGGAATGCTGCTATGTTAGATTGTATTACGGTTTTCTTCTATTTTGCAACAAACTGAACTTTTAAAAAAATCTTGGGGATTCTAACAAGCCAAAGAAAACATTTGGTTTTATGACTATTACATAAACAGCTTAAGAACATATACGGGTAAAAGTTCTACACATTGTCTAAAGTATGTATTGTGAAAATCCCTAGTTATAATTTCAGGTAAAATATGCACAGAAACCAGAACACCAATGATGGCTTTCATCTGTACCACGCTATACCTAAACTACATATGAGAATATGAACTCAAAAAAAAAGTATTACAAATGTTTCTTATCTATCACTGTTTAACCAACATATACAGTGAGTTATTCAGATTTTCCTTTTCTCCTAAAATGCAACTTTTGTTTTTAAATGTGCCTAATTCTAAAGCTGTGTTTGTGCTGCTCTCTTTTGGGGGTAGGGAGGAACTGCGTTTCATACCTAGCAGGTCTTGCTACTTTGGGAGGAAGACAAATTTTTACTACTTTTAACACTTTTGTCTTAACAATTACCTTAAAATACAATTTCATTCTACTTTAAAGAAACTGGTAAACAGTCAAACTATCATTTAATAATACGGGATTTGGATTCTTGGGTTTTTCATTTTCTTTTTTTTTTTTTTTTTTTTTTTTTTTGTCTTTTTCCTTTTTATCGGTACCGGGAATCGAACTCACGACTGCCTGCTTTCAAGGCAGGCGCTTATGCCACTGAGCTAAACCCTCAGCCCCCTTTCTTTTGTTTTTAAAACAGGGTTTTGCTATGTAGTTCAGGCTGGCCTCGAACTCACAGAGATCCTCCTACCTCAGGCTCTGCTGATGCTGGGATTACAGATACCCAGCTGTTTTGGGATTTTTTTTAAAGTAAAATATAAACCTTAAAATAAACACTAACCTAAGTTGTTTTATGTTTTTTGTACCAGGGATCGAACTCACAACCTCATGCTTGCCAGGCAGGCACTTATATCACTGAGCTATATCCCCAGCCCTAACCTAAGTTTTCGAACTTACCAAAAGAGAAGGAAAATTCAAACAACAGATTAGATTTTCCTATTAAGTAAAATTAATGTCACATTCAATAAATTATGTTCTTCAAAGAACACTATGGTCTCACTTTCAGGGAAGTCACAAACTGAATGCATTAAAGAGTTCGTGCAGTAAAAATCTAAAGGTAATTATTCACTGAGAATTGTCTTACATTAAAGAATATATGATCACCACGGACATCTGAAGATTTCTCAGTTCAAGGAATTCTAAAAACAATGTCTCTGTGTAAGTAATTTAAAATAATAGAAATCCTGAGTGCTACCAAAATATTTCTCCTCAAAAAACATATGTTTTCTTATGCTTTCTAGCTCATAAACTATCCTACGTTCTACAAAAATAAGATACAGTGCCTGTGGTTTTTCTGAGTGACACCTTCCTTAAGTGTTTTGGTTTAATTTTTAAGTAGGAATCATCAAATAATAAAATACATTCTAAAAAGTAAGCTCTGCCTATCAGGTTCGGCATTCCCCAAGCACTCACTTGCCTGGGCTTTGAAAGGGTCTGTCACTTGGAGGGGGACACACACTCACACACACACACACACACACACACACACACACACACACGCACACACACGCACACACACACACACCTCCCAGAAGGTGGCAGAGCTGAGCAGTGAAAAATCAGCCTGTGAGTCCAGCAGCTCACAGCAGGAAAGAGAAGCAGGAGGGAGCTGACCCCCAAGACACAGGGAGGCTCTGGGAGACTGGACAAGAAACAGTCACCTATAAAGCAAAGCGAATCACAATCACAAACCCTCAAGTCGAAGAGAGCTTGGAGTGAAGCATTTCAAGTCATACAAGAAAATCTCAACCTTGATTGATGTACTCTGTGAAATTATCTTTAAAACTGATGGAAAAATAAGACATTTCCGTGGTAAAGAACATCTGGGGAAATTCATGACCACTAAACAAGCAACCCAAAATGTTCCAAAGGACATTCTAGAGATAACAAAGACTACAACTCCATGTACCCCAACAGAATGAGTCCACCAAGCAAGGCAAGCAGTTAACCAGAATTAAAAGATGGGAATTAACAAGAGGAAAATAATATGGCATGGATAGGTTAATGCATATCAGTCATAACCATTCACCAAAAGAAATAGATTTGCAGAATGGATCAAGAGACAACATCCAATAATATGCTGCATACAAGAAACACACCTAACTCAAAAGAAAATCATAGACTGAAAGTCAAAGATAGAAAACAATACTCCACAGGACAGGAACCTGGAAAAAAATAAGTATTCTATTTGCAGACAAAGTACTTCAAGCTAAGGCTAATCAAATCAAAAGATACAAAAAAGTCATTACGTACCTGTTAAGGGAATAATCCAAGAGGAAATATAAGAATCTTAAATATACATGCATCAAATACCAGCACACCAACTATATAAAACAAATATTAATGGACATGAAAAAAAAATCAATCTAATTATAATGGGGGACCTCAATATCCCACTCTCATAAGTAGATCAACTACACAAGGAGTCAACAAAGAAATATCAGAATGAACTGTACCTTTGAACAAATAGACTTAGACATCTACAGTGTGTTTCACCCCACAACATCAGAATATTCTTTTCAGCTACACACAGCACTTTCTCCAAAACAGACCACAGACTGGCCCACAGAACACACTTAAGTAAATGCAAATAAATCAAAATTATCCCATGCATATTATCACACTACAGTGCAATGAAATTGAAAATCAGTGGCAAAAAACTTCAAAAACTGCACAAACACATGGAAATTAAATACCCTGCTATAAAACCAATACATCACAGATAAAATTAAAGGAAAAATTATATGGTTCCTACAATTAAACATTAATGCCAACACAATACACCAGAACTTACAGGACACAATAAAAACAGTCCAAAGAGAAAAATTGATAGTGGTGAATGACATTAGAAAAACAGTGAGCACAAATAAACAACCTAAGGCTGAACCTCTAGCTACTAGAACAAGAACAGCTAGTTAAATCCAAAGCTTTAGGAAGGAGGAAATTCCAAGATGAGAGCAGAAAGTAATGCAATTGATGGTAAGAAAACAATACAAAGAATGGTTCGTTGAAAGATTAAATAAAATAGACAAATCCTTAGGCAACCTTATCCAAAATACCAGAAAAAAAGACTCAAATCCATGCAATTAGGAATGAAAAGGGTGAAAATACAACAGATCCTACAGAAATCTAGATCATCAATTACTTACTTCAAGAATCTATCCTCTAATAAGATGTAAAATGTAGAAGAAATGGACAGATGCCTAGATATGCATGAATTAGCAGAGTCAAGAAGATACAAAAATTCTAAATATTCTAGTATCAGTCAATGAAATTGAATATGCAATAAAAAAAAAACCCTACAACAAAGGAAAGCCCTGGTCCTGACAGATTCACTGCTGAATTCTACAAGACATTTAGAAAAGATCTAATACAACTACTCCTCAAACTCCAATGAAATTTAAAGGAATGCATACTCCTAAACTCATTCCTGGAAGCAACCATTACACTGATAACAAAACCACAAGAGGACCCAACCAAAAAAGAGAACTACAGGCCAATTTCTCTAATAAACATAGCTGCAAAAAAACTCAATAAGATACTGGCAAACAGAATTAAATCATCAAGAAAATTATACATCTTGACCAAGTAGGATTCACCCCAGAGATCCACGGATGGTTCAACATGTGCAACTCAATAAATGTAATATACCATATTAACAGAACCAAAGACAAAAACCACATGATGATCTTAATAGACACAGAAAAAACATTTGACATTGCAAGCACGTAGTCGTGAGTTCGATCGCTGGTACAGATAAAAAAAAAAAGAAAAAACATTTGACAATGTCTGACTCTAACTCATGATAAAAGAAAAACCTACATAAAATTGGAACAAATGGTCTTTATTGCAATCTGATAAAAACCATGTATGATAAACCAACAGCTAACATCACACTAAAGGATCAAAACCTGAAGGCTTTCACTTTAAAATCAAGAACAAGACAAGATTGTTTACTATCACCGCTCCTATTCAACATAGTCTTGGAAACATTAGCCAGAGTGATTAGACAAGAGAAAAAAATAAAATAAAAGGAGTAAGGATAGGAAAGAAAGTAAATTAAATTAAATTACCTTTATTTGCAGAAAACATGATATTCCACATAGAAGACCCCAAAAGTCCACCAAAAGACTTTCAGATTTAATAACCAACTTCAGTAGCATAGCTGGATACAAAATTGACATTCAAAAATCAGTAGCATTCTTGTACACAAATAACAAAATCACTGATAAAGAAAGTATTGCCCTTTTCTTTTTCCCTTTTGGTACTGGGGATTGAACTCATGACCCTGTGCTTGCCAGGCAGGTGCTTACGCTGCTGAGCTAAATCTCCAGCTTCTGATAGAGCAATTAGGGAATAATACCTTTGACAAAGGGGCCACACATGTTCACTGAAAGAAAAAAGCCTCTTTAATAAATGAAAAAACTAGCTTTCCACATGCCAAAATCTAAAACTAGAGCCATGTATATCACCATGCGCTAAACTACAATCAAAATGGACCAAAGATCTAAACATTAAAACAGAAACACTAAATCTGTTTGGAGAGAGAACAACTAGAATTCTTGAAGACATAGTATAGGCAGATTTCACTAATAAAACCTCGACTACATGGGAAATACTTCAAAGAATCAACAACTGGGATCTCCATCTTATTAAAAAGCTTTTACACAGCAAAAAGAAACTATCAACAGAAAGAAGAGTGAGAAAAAATGTTGCTAGTTCTTTCTCAAAAGACTAGTATCTAGAATATATAAAGAACTAAAAAAAAAGAAAGAAAGAAAAAAGCAGATCCCCCGCCCCCACCTAATTAAAAGATCCAATCCAAATAATGGACATCTGAAATGATCAAACATTCTCTGATGAAGAAATACAAACAGCAAATAAATATATGAAAAGATGTTCAATCACAGGTCATTCGAGAGGTGCAAATTAAAAACACTGTGATTCTATCTCACCTCAGAAAGAATAGCTATGAGCACGAAGTCTACCAATAACAGCTGCACCATCACTCCCTCTTTAAACGTGGAGGAGCAGAGCCAGGTCTCACACCAGGACAGCGAGCTTCGAAGCCAGCTTCCCACCAGCCCTAGCAACAGGTCCCCGGCGTCAGGAGCACACCGTAAAGCACTGAGCCTGAGGAGCAGCAGCAGCGGCGTCTCCCTTTAGAGGACACAAAGCTGACAGTTTCCACTAGGTAAGGGAACTCCTGCCATCGCTCTGAATAACCACGCTGAGGTCTGGGCTCAGCACAGGCTCGGAAGCCAGCAACCTGCACCCACAGCTCCCCTTAATAAAGCCCGGGGACTGAAGATCGTGAATCCCACTGGAAAGAATGGCTGGGAACTCTGGGCCACAGCGCTATCTCTCCCCTTCAAACAGGGTCTGAGTTTTTGAAATTGAAAGAGCTCCCGTAAAAGAAATCAATAATGTAAGCAGCAGAAAGGGAGCCGGGAAAAGCTGAGGGCGTCTAAAGCCCACCTGCGCTCTACCTCACAGTCTGCGACCAACGTGCCGTGCAACTTACAAGGTTAAGATACACACATCCGACATCCAGCACGCGAACACCACAGCCAACCCTTCTTCAAGTCTGCCAACGTCCCGACTGCATCTCAGGAGCACGCACCTGCAAGAGGGGGCTTGTGCGAGTGGAGCGCGCAGGGCACGCTGACGATCACTTTGCCGTCCGGAGGAGGCAGCACCTTCACCTCTGGGCAACTAGGGCCAACAGCACAGGAGAGCGGATTAGGTTTGAAAGAATGACGCTGAGTTATAGGCTGCAATCGTATTTTGTCCTTTCAAATAGTACATGATGATTTTGCTTGGTTGGTTGGTTTTGTTTTTGTTTTTGCGACAGGGTCTCACTCTGTAGCCTCCAGGCTGACCTCAAACTCACAGCAGTCCTCCTGCCTCAGCCTCCCCAGTGCTGGGATTACAGGGGTGTACCACGATGTCTGGCAGTATCTGATTTTTTAAAATCAGATTTTACTGGTACATTATAGATATGCATAAGAACACAATCATCATAGAGAATTTGTACCTGTATGTGATATAATTTGTTTTTCTTTCCTATACTCCTACCCTCCCTTCAACCCTTCCTCCCCTCCCCATTTACTAAAGCTTTGTTTCTATATCTTCCTTCTTTTCTCCTTTTTTAAGCTTTCTCTTCTTCCCTTTTCCCCTCCTCTTTCCTTACCCTCCCCAAATATCCAATTTTTTAAAACAAATTTAAGGATTGATTCATTGGAAGAAATCAATAGTTTAAGAACTGAGACAACTAAGTCAGTGATGGCGAACCTTTTAGAGCTTTCAGTGATACAAACTGCCCACCAGGGACCACGTGCCACCACATCACCACCACTGCCCTAGGATCTCGCTCTCCAGTCATGACAATTACACACCAGACAATGTAAAAGAAAACTACATTTGTCATGCAATTCATACTTTGCTCTTTTAGATTATCAAAAAATGTAAAAATTCAGGAAAATCAATGATCAGTGTGTTCACTTTAAAGGTCTAAAATTTAATACATTTATATAATTTTGGCAAATTACCTTTCTTACCTTGATGGTAAAATGGCTTTTCCCTGAACTCTTCCCAGGATAAGACCTTCATACGGTTTTTTGTGTGGCGAATCTAAAGGGAATACAAACTCTCCCGTCTTGGTGATCTGGTAGAAAGGAACTGACATCATTATACAGTCTCCATCCTTCCCTTCAAAAAGAAATGAATAAACCTCCAGGCAGAAATGAATAAACCTCCAGGCTAGCGTTGTCTGATAAAAACATAATAAAACCCACAAATGTGATCTATATATCTATTTTTAAATCTTCTAGTATTAACATTTTTAAAAAGTACTGATCTCCTAAAAATACTATAAATGGCAGGGGTGGGGGCAGAGAACCCTAACCCCCGCACTCAGGAGGCTGAAGCAAGAGGGTGGTCACAGCACTGAGCTATTTCGCTAGCTCAAAGCCAGCCTGGACTCTAGCAAGACTTCATTTCAAAAATAAATAGAAAGCAAAACAAATAGAAAGTGAAAAGCTACAGTGAAATCAACTATACCTACTTCATTTTAACACACCCAAGATATTACTTCAATATATGCTCAGTTCCAAGGAGTTACTGAGATAGGCTACACTCTCTCTTTACATTGAGTCTTTACTACCCAGCTTGTGTCTTACACCTCACAGCGCGGAGCGGCCACCTCAGGCGCTGCAGAGTCACAGGTGGTAAGGCCTACCGTTTCATGCAATGTAGTTACAAGATTTTAGAAAAGGTATCTGATATATTTTAGCACAATTTTACTATCATCGTGCACAAACACTTCTACTTTATATTAAAATTTATTCCTGCAAACGATGTCATCATTGGTTCATTTACTAACTCATTCAGATAGTATTTACTGATTACTGGCAACACCTCTAAATAGATCAAAATAAAGCCTTTCTTTAGTTGTAAGAAACAGTGTTACTGAATGCTGTCAGAGGTAAAATTAATAAAGAAACAAGCTGAGGAGTCAATAAGATAAGACACTATCGGGCATCATAAAGTCAGAAATTCAATTTTATCACCTCATCCTGTGATGACCAGATTCCTCAGGATTCATTCAAGCTAATTAAACTTAAAAATGCAATTCTTGAAAAGCATATAAACCTGTTTACTTACAATGGAGATACATGTATTTACTGCCAGAATATTCCTATCAATTATCAGTAGAACCCTTTACCCTATTTTGAGGTAACTGAACAACCAAGTCAGTAATCAGAAAGCTCTTTTATCTCCTCTAAGGCCAGTCAGGCAGCACCTCTTACACATAATACTGTATTAACAGTGGCGAAGGCTTGGGTTTTTGTTTTTTGTTTTTTCCTTTTTTGGTACTGGGAATCAAACTCAGGACCTTGTGCTTGCCAGGCAAGTATTATGCCACTAAGCTAAATCCCCGACTAATGATGGCAAATTCTTCTTCTTCGTTAGCCTTTATAGTCCACGCAGATTACTCCCTTTGTTATAATATAAATGGCTCATATGTCATAGTACAGTTTGATTTTCTACTCTGTCCTTACCATACCATCTCTCAGAACTGATTACCACTACAGATGAACACCCTAGGTTCTCACACACTAACACTCTACTGGATTTGACTTCAGAGGCGATCTCCTCCTGACTTTGGTCCACCAGAGGGCAGGTGGAATGGGATGTTACATTCCCTTCATGATCCTGTGTCAAATCAACCAAAATCAGGACCAAAGGATGTCATGAAAGCCAAGACACAACTGTCAGTATTTGTTTGCTGAGTCAGATAAGAGAGGTATAAACAATGCACGCAGCTTTTAGGACATATGCCAGTAGACCACAGAGTATGTAAAAGCACACAGAAAAACAATCTGATATGCCTAAAATAAATACACTAGTTACTAAACACTGCATTGACTGTAACTTACATTTTCAAAACCTATTAGGAGGGCTTTTATGACGTCCATGTGAATAATCAGTATCTTTCAGAGAATGTCCAATGAACTCTGAACTGAAACTTGAGTTTTCTGCATTTATATTTTATTCTTGCAGCACGTAGGGATTTTAAAGATCATTCAGCCAACACTAAAGTTAAAATCGGTTATTTTAAAAAGTGTGGCAGCACCGGAAGCACTGAGCACAGAAGTTAAGAGCTGATGCATGACAGGTCTCGGGTGTCACGTCTCCGACGCCCTCTGTACTAGCTCACTTTGTGGTTCTCTGCTCCTCCCCAGAAACGTGGGCAAGTGGCCACACGGGGCGACTGACACTGTGCGGACACAGAGGGCAGGAAGACAAATGGAGTGCATCCGACTTCAATGCCCAGTGCGGGATCGGCTCCCCCAAAGTGTGTGCTTGTCATACTGTAAGCTAGATTGCTAGAGACCAGAGCTTTCTTAGATTTCATCCTGGGGTGAAATCCTTGACCAGCAAGCAGTGCAGGACGCTAACATGGATAGAAGCAGAGCATGGCGGCAGCCTTGAGGACAAGAAGACACAAGTGTTGAGCAGCAAAGCAAGCGAGCTGTGATGACACCCTGTTTAGACAGAAGACCATCGACGCATGAAACCCCGCAGAGCACACACCGACCCCACGTGCCTCGTGTGCCTGCGACACTGACACACATGCGAGCACCGCCACTCACTTTAACCCAGTGCCACTCGGCCAGCGTCTCCACAGACCATGACGGGTACAGCTCATCTCTCACGAAGCGCAGGTGCCTCTGCCTATTGGTCACCCACGTGATGACCAGGCAGTCAGGAGCGGCCAGCTGAGGGACGGGGATCTGCTGTATCTGCAGTGGTGACAGATAACTGTACCTAAACACCAACAGGGAAATGGGGGTAAACTTTGTTATTAAAAAGAGAAAAAAATAGCTGGGGTGGTTTCACATGCTTGTAATCCCAGCACTCGGGAGGCTGAGGCAGGAGGATCGGTATGAGCTAAAACCCAGCCTGGGCTACAAGTGAGCTCAAAGTCAGCCTGAATTGCACAGCGAGACCCCGTCTCAGAAAGACAAAAAGAATAAAGAAAAGAAAAACAAGGAGAAGACCTGTGTCAGAGACCCCAGAAATGCAAAATTCCTGCAGCTGTTGATCTGTGGGGTCAAATATGAAGCTACAGTGACACCTGGTGGACATGCTTGCACACAGCCATTGAAGAGCATGGAACTTGGTTTTTCTGTTTTACTAGTAGAGAATTGACAAGCTGTGTCAATTCTTTGAAACAATCGCTTTGAAACACAATTTGGAAAAATTTCCCATTCAGATTTTTTTCTCCCATTCCAAATTAAGCAAATATCTCTAGGGTCCTCTGTCTCTCCCGCCATCAGTCCTAGGGATGGCAGCCGGGGTCATTCTACCATTCAGCCCCATCCCCAGACCTTTCCGTGTATTTATTTGGAGGCAGAGAGTGTCACCACGCTGCCCAATAGGACTCAAACCTGCCATCCTCCTGCCTCAGTCTCTCTCTATGTCGGGATCCCAGACATTTGCTCATCTCCATCTGTTTCACGGCAGCCACAGTGAGTGTGGACACCAGCATCTCAGGAATCCAAGGTGAAGCCCACAGACAGTACCAGGCAAGCGTGGCGGGCAGGAACCCTAAGGCCAATCAACCTCAGCCAAGCGGGGGCCCAGGCACTGGCCTCTCACCCAACCTCCGCTCCTCCCCACTGCAGGCTTTCAGCCCCCTTTACCATCCTGTCTTGAAGACATAGGCGTAGGCAGAGACTGCATGAACAAAACCAAGGGAAATACAACAAAGAATCAACAGAATCTCACCTTATTAAAAAGCTTTTGCACAACAAAAGAAATCACCAACAAAGTAAAAAAACAACACACAGTGGGAAAAAAATTATAGCTCTTTATCCCCCAGACTTATATCTAGAACATAAAATAAATTTTAAAAAGCAGGCTCCCTAAATTCAAAGACCCAATCCAAAAATAGGTATCTGAGATGAATACACACTTCTCAAATAAAGAAATACAAACGGCAAATAAATAAATGAAAAAATGCTTGACATTATTGATCATTCGAGAGATGCAAATTAAAACACTAAATTTGAAACTTTTATAGGTAAGTGGATAAAACTCGAGATCATACTCGTAAGTATGTAAATATCATATTGTCTCACTAGTACAAGAATCGGAAAGAGTAAACAAGTTCCAAAATGTACAACAGATACTGGGAAAAGGTAAGAAACTGTTCAGAAGAAAAGATGAACTGCGAGAGGTACAAGGGGAAAGAGGAAGGAAAGGAAAAGGGACAAGGAAAAAATACATACACACAAGACAGTTCAGATAGGTTTGCAGCCAGTTTCTCTTGGTTTACCGAGGGGAAAGTTTGGTGCTGGCGACTTTCTGTACAGTGTTTCATGCCTGTGTCTTATATAACAACACGCAACGTGCTGGCTACCATTACGCTCCTACTAGCCTGTTTTCAAAGTGTTTTATTGTCCTTATTCTATTTAAAATGTTAAAATTTTTAAAAATAATGCAAGATCAAAAACTTGAAATGACATGGTTCCAATAACTGCAGATTTCTTGATTGCTTTAATTTTATTTGAGTTGATGGGGGACATTTACATTCTCCCTTCTAGCTCTAAATTTATGGAAGTCACTTTGAAAATATTCATTTTTTTTACGCTGAAAATATGTGATAGAAAACATGTAGCACTTCCTATTCTGCAGAGGAAACGTGTGTATCTTTGTGAGTTTGCTTTAGGCAAGGATTTCTTACATACAACCCCAAAAGTATAAGCAACAAAAGAAAAAAACAGATAAACTGAATTAAAAACTTTGTTAATTAAAAACTGTGCTTCAAAGAAAAGTGAAACACAAAATCCAAAGCATAGGAGAAAGTATTTTCAAATCATATATCTGATCCAAAATATGTAAAGAATTCTTACAAATCAATGATGTAAAAACCCTAAATTTTAAAATGTGCAAAGGCAGGACTACAAAGTTAAGGGCAGCCTGGCAACTAGAGAAAAATCTGTTTCATCACAAAAAATAAAAAGGCAGGAATGTAGCTTAGAAGTAGACTGATTCTCGGTTCAATTCCCAGTATTACAAAAAAAAAAAAAAAAAAAAAAAAAAAAAAGCACAAGGTATTTAAATAGACCATTTTTAATTCTCCATGTGAGACCAGGACATGGAAATGACCAACAAGGGCATAAGAGGATGTTTGATATCATTCGTTATTAGAGAAATGCAGACCAGAACTACAAGGCACCACTTCATACCCATTAGGACACTATAAATTTTTTAATGGAAACTAACAAGTGTTGACAAAGGAAAGTTAGAGCCCTCATTGCTGGTGAGCACGTACAGCAGTGCAGCCACTCAGTAAGCGAGCTTGCCATTCCTCAAAACTTCACAGATGGAATTCCCACAGGGCCCAGCATTCCACGCCAGTTCTACCACAGAGGACGGGAGAAACACTGCCCGGAGTCAACCAGACCCTAACGTCTGACCTCCTTCCAAAACCACCCACGTGCAGCCTCAAGGAGCTGTCAGAAGGACTCACAGAACTTACCAAAAGTTATTACTCAGCTATGGTTTACCAGGAGAAAGGATACAGATTAAACTCCATCAAAGAAGAGAACCCAACGATGCTAAAGACTTATTACAACTAAAAGCAATGCATGACCTACTGTTTTATTTTGCTACAAAGAACATTTCCGGGACAGTTGGTGAAAAGGTCTAAAGGTAGTAACAATGTACCAGTAAGATACTGTATGGGGAGGGGATGTAGCTCAGGAGTAAGAGTTTGCCTAGTACCTGAGGCCCTGGGTTTGATACTACTGGGGGGGGGGGGGGGGATGCCCATGTGTATTTATATATAGACAGATACATATATAATCGATGTTAATTACATGTTTTGACAATTACATTAGGATTATGTAACACTTGTTTTTAGGAAATGTACACAGAAATATTTAAGTCCAACTTTCATAATTTATTCTCAAGGGATTAAAAATTTTTATTCATATAAATACACACAAACAGACACAAAGAACAGACACATGCATTCCCCAACTTTAAAGGAAAAATACCCTCCTTTTGGCACAGCTCACAAACACGCAGACTAAGGAAGCTGAAGATAAATTGTCAGAGGAAGATTTCAGATGAAGTTTAAGTCAAAATAGGAGTATTTTTTTCCTAGAGTACTGAAGAGTGAGAAATAAAACCTTCCTTACAACTAAAGAGGAAAACTTCATTTTAAAAACCCTATTAAAAGGAAACATCAACATGGTAAATAATCAAACTTGTCATCCTACAGGTGACATATAATGCTTCGTAAATTAAAAATATAAACAAGCCGAGCATGGTGATGCATGCCTGTAATCTTAGCACTCAGAAGGCTGAGGCAGGAGGATCACTGAGAGTTGGAGGCCAGCCTGGGCTACAAAGTTAGCTCAAGGCCAGCCTAAGCTCTAACAGTGACAAATAATAATAATAGTAATTTTAAAACCTTTTAAAGCATTATAGTAACCTGTACCATTATGTTAATAATACATTCACAGAATGTACAAAGGATTGTAGTTTTTAGAAAGCATGTCTCACAGAGAATTCATTTCCACTTACCTGTTACTTCTTTTAACTGATTTGTTCTGCCATGGTGGATCAATCACAATTACATCAAACATTTTCCCACCTGAAGTGAAAGACACAGTTTCAGAAGAGGCCCCCAAATGTGAGTCACATGGAAAACTAAATATAAGACTGAGGTGACAGGCCTCGGTGCAGAGGCCCAGGGTTGAATCCCTAGCACTCAAAAATGTGAAAATAAAAAAACAAATAAACATGTGCTTCAAAACCAAAGTACTTCCACTATCAACACAAACACACCGGCATTCATCAGAAGAACTTAAGCATTTATTTAAATGCAATTTCTCTAAAAATTGAGCTTTCTCTTATAATTTAGTAACCGACTTTCATTTAATTTCACCAGTTGGTTTCGTAAGGTTTTGAAGTCCTGTATCACTTATACTGATTTATTTTTTATTTTTCTATTTTGTTTTATTTTCTTTGGTTTTAATCTTCTTTAAAATAAAATAAAAATTGCAAAAAAAATGATTTCACTAATTGCTACTTTTGCAGAGACCACTTGCAGACAGCTACAATTCACTGAGCTGGACGCTAATAATTCATAGATTTCCTATAAATCTTGGCAGCCCTGTTCATATGGTCTTTTCACACCTAGGTTTTCATTTTTGATTTTCAAATGATTTCAGTTTTACAATTGGTCCAAAACTAGGGCCGCACACTGCGTTACATTCCCACGTTTCCTACCTCCCCTCCAGGCCGGGGCCTTCACTCTTTGGCTTTCTTGACCTTGAGATTTTTAAAGGCTATGGATAAGTTATTTCATAGAATGCCCCTCAATTTGGTTGTGGGATTTCCTCATAATTAAATTTAGGCTATTTTAGATGGGTGTGGTGGCACACATCTGTAATCTCAGTATGTTGGGAAGCTGAGGCAGGAGGATTACACAGTCTTAAAATAAAAAAGGGCTGAGACTGTAGCCCAGTGGGAAGGCCCTGGGCTCAATCCCGGGAGAGATAGGAAGGTAGATAGAAAAGAAAGTGAGAGAGGGAGAGTGAGAAAAGAGACAGAGAGAGGAGAAACAAGGACAGGAGAGAGGAGAGAGGCTAATTTTGTTGCCTGCTTCGGGGGAGACACCAGCAAAGCCCCACCTATGCACTCTATGGAGGCAGCAGTTCGGGAAGCAGAGCAGCTCATGACCAGCAACTGCTCCAGGCGCCCTCTGCCAGGTCTCTGCAGTGTCCCCCCTGGAAGGAACAAGTCTCTTGACAAAGAGACTTCCTCGTTTGACACCCAGTTATTCCAAGGATGTTTGTCGCGGGGAAGTTTTCTAGCTCCGCCACCATCTGCTTCAATTAGTTAGAATTTCGCTGTGAGGAGGAGCTGTCCCTTCTCACACTGTCCATTCTGTTTACTTCTCCTACTGTTACAAGCACAGGGTGCTGAGGTGCAGAAGGGCGCGGGGCGTGGAGAGGGCAGAGGCCGGGTGCAGGCCAGCGGCCCTCGGGTCCCTCAGTGGGCAGCCACAGCCGCACAGGCAAAGCCGCTGCCCTCACGGGCTCAGGGCCGGCCACCCGCCGCTTCTGCTGCACCCCCCCCCACCAAGATCTCAACGCCCAACAAATCATCCTCATGGCCTTTTGCTAAAACAGAAAAACAAAGGAACATGGAAACACTTCTGTGTAATCTTACAAATAATCAAAAGGGCACAAGTTAAAATAAGGTGACCTCTTTTAAAGTATTCAAGTAACACAGATCAAAAAAGAACAGAAAATTTGCTCAATGTAGCACAACTTTTCTCATTAATTTGCTCCTTTGTTGTTTAGATTGGAGAATCTATAACACTGTGTGTGCATGGGCAGCCTGTCACATACACGCTGGTTGACAGCAATGAATACAGATTTTTCATTAGTAAAATGTATACAGTACTTGCTTGACACTTCATATTTTGCAATAAAATTTCCAAATAACAATAGTGGATTAAATTCGACTTCACCAATATACCTCTTCATATCATGTTCCTTAGAGTACTTATTAAAAACATAAATCACCAAGCTAAGAACCTAATAGGCATTATTCCACTGACACCTCAAAGTGACCTCACACAGGAATGACCGTGCAGGTTATGAACTGGGAAACTGAGGCTCAGCTGTGAGCAGCGGCCGGTGACTCAGCTCAGCTTCAGAGCCTGAACTCAGATACAAGTCTGTGTCATCCCGGCTTCGGAATGTAAATACTTTTACTTTGCAGGAGAAAATGAAGACAGTTCAGACAATAAGCTTGAACACTGCCTCGGAAAGATTTGAGAATACTGGTAACTAAAATTTTCTCCTTTGCTTTTAAGAAAAGTCATTTTGGTTAAATAAAGACCCTTGCTCCATGTACTGTGAATTCCCAAATACAAAGAACTCACTGTATTTGCTCTCTCAGGGAGTAATGTGCCCCAAGATTCATCGTAAAACTTTAAGTTTTTTTTAAAAAGCAAATTTAGCCCTTTAAAATTGAATTGTAGAAAAAATTACACTGGGAAAATCATTAATCCTACATCATAAATGTTGGCTCCCATTTAAAATTCAGACTGAACTTCTGAGATCACAAAAAAATACCATTTTCTAAAAATAAACACAATTACTTACAGTTCAGAAGTGGCTGTATACAAGAAATATCGGACAAAAGGAAACTGCTTTTTGGTGGTAGCAGGTATTTCTGTCCCATTAAAGTAATCATTTTTGAAAAGCTGGAGTTGTTTTCAATGACTCGCGAAAATAAATCCTGCTCTGCCACAGACGCATCCTCTTCCATCAACTGCAGTGTCCGCTGTCCCATCTCACTCAGAGGGGGCAAACGCTTCGCCAGGTCACACAGTCCTGACAAGCTGCAGGAATCCAGCGGTAAAGCAATGGGTTCGCTACCCTTGTCCCGTTTTTCAGAAAGCTGATAGAGAAAACCACTTTTGAGGCCTTCTTGGATTAACTGTGAGGAGCCATCCAGAATCAGCTCTCTGATCTGTAAAAGAATGTAAAGAACATTAAAAAGATACTGGCACTATAATAATTTTCCAAATAAGAAAGTTCCCACCATGCTTTGAATATCTGAATTTATACTTTACAACCAACATTCTTAACAATGATAGAAAAATAATTTTACGCTACAACGAGTAGAATGCACCAGTATATCTTTGAACTGCCATTTCCTAGTTGCAAAATAAAACAAGCCTCACAATCACCCCAAACACACAAAGTCAGATGTCCTCTGAAATAAGCAGGACAGCCAAGCACGGCGGCATCTGGGAGGCTGAGAGGGAAGGGTCATGAATTCAAGGCCAGCCTGGGCTACACAGTGAAAGCCTGCCTCAAAACACCAAAACACAAGTAAATAACGAAAAATAAATTATATAAAAACAACCTTGCTAATCTGCGTGTTTCTAGAAGAAAATTTAATGCCTAACCTATTAAAAGAAGTTTAAACCATACATTTAATTAAGATTTCTCCAGTGATCTAAGTTTTAAAGAAACATAACTTTGATTTTGTATAATATAGCTTGAATTATTCAAAAGAGACAATTTTTTTAAGTGAGCATACATACTGCTTTGTAAGAACACAAGTGCAATAATTTCAAAAAAAAAAAAGTTGAGCTCTAATTCTAGATAAGACCGAACAGAGGGTCACATTTATCCTTTCACATTTTAAAAATCTATGAATTGACTTCCAAGAGAAGATGGCGGATAGATAGCACCAGCTACGGAGGCTCTCTGAGATACCTCGCTTAAAATCCAGGAATGGTGAGGTACGAGTCCTAAGCAAGGGGAGATACACCCTGCCAACCCAGGAATAAACTAAGCTAAGAGAAACCAACTGGAAATCCAATCCTGGTGCTATCACAGGAACAGATAAAATCTCAGCGCAGGAAGCTAGAACCCGTGCCACTGGAAGCCACGATTTGAATTTCCTGCTGCCACTGCTGCATCCAAATACGCAGGGTAGGGAGAGAGACGCACAAAAGCTCTGAGAGCAGGAATCTGCGAATGGAGTTGAAAGCGGGACTAGCAGAGAACCCTACATCAACTTGCAGTGAGTGAATGGAACCGGACCCTTTCATAGAGTAGGAGGCTCCAGCAAAGGACATACTGGGACCGGGCAGACTTGCCAGAACAGGACGCTGCAGTGACATCAGCCGCATATTCCCCTCTCTAGCGGGATTGGTGGGGAATGCCTGGCCTGCGAGACGCCACTGAGTAAGACCCAGTAGGCTAGTCCAAACCAGGTCCCAGCACCTGGAGGTACACCCTAGCGGTGAAGCCTTCGGTAGTTTGACCTGGAGGGACGAGCCCAGCAGAGGCTGCCCAGGTCTGTGTCTCCCTAGCACACTGCAGTGGGTGGGAACACCTAGCCAGCACAATTCAAACAAACTGTAACCCATAAAAAGAAAAAAATTGGGCCTCCTACATTCGCTTGTATGGAAGGAACAAAAAGTATGGGAAGAGGAAGCAACAAGAAAGGGTCCTCAGTCCCCAATCCTGAGAACACTGATCCAGGAAAGGGAAACACAAAGGAAGACAGAAACATGCAATATCAGACACAGCACCAATAGACATAAAGTGATATCCGCAGAGCCTCATAGATGAATTTCAAAATGAAGTATTTAATGAAATAAAGCAAGATATAAGTAGAATAGTTAGAAAAATGCTAAGCACCGCCCAAGAAAAAAACAGATGGTGGAATGGAAGAACAGAAAAAAAGGAGAGAATTGTTTGATGGAGCAAATAGAGAAAACATAGAATACGTGAAGCAGGTTCAAAGAGATTACCAGGAAACTAAAAACTCTATTGAAAGCTGGCATAACAGCTTGAAAGAAACTAAGGATACATTATCTGAATTGGAGGGCAGATTTGTAATATGGGAGAATGAAATGAAAAACTTCTTAAAAATAACAAGTAAACAAACAGCAATAATACAAAGGCTAGAAGATGATAAGAGGATCTATAACTTAAGAATTAAGAACATAAAAGAAGTAGGGACACAAACAAATGGACTACAAAAGCTATTCACAGAAATAATCCAAGAGAATTTCCAAATCTTTACCTTTAGCAAAAGGTAAAGATACTCAGATGTATGAGGCATACAGGACCCCAGCCACCTACAACCCAAACAGAGCTACACCCAGATATATGATAATCAAAATTCCAGAAATCCAATAAAAGAACAGAATATTAAAAGGCATCAGAGACAAGAAACAGATCATTTACAAGGGAACACCCATCAGAATTACAGAAGACTTCTTGGCACAAACCATCAAATCACGAAGAGCGTGGGGGAAATAATTCAGGCTTTAAAAGATAACAACCTTCAGCAAAGATTGATATATCCTGCACAACTGTCCCTAGAAATCGATGGAAAAACAAGGTGCTTCCAGGATAAAGAGGAACTAGGGGAATTTGCAACCACCAATTCAACTCTACAGAGAATACTACAGGATATTCTAAAAAAGGAAAATACCAAGACTTCAGAAACAGTGGCAGAGAGGCCACAATGAATGGAGCAGAAAGCGAAATGAAGACAAACTGACAACAAACGACAGAAAAAGAGCTCAACAGAAATGAGGCAGAGAAGGTTGGATGGTAGGAACAGCTATTTGGAGAAAATAAGACATCATAATAGCTAGTGCTGATTTAGTATCATCTTGCTTTGAAGTCCCATAAGCTTTTATTCTTCTGTCTCCATCGGTCTTAACAGGTTGTATCTTATTGGATTTTATTATATGTGATAATATAAGCAAAAACTTTTATAGACAAGGAGATTATACAGAAACCATTATTCATTTTCTGATAGTTGGTTCTAAATACCCTGTAATGAATGGTTTTACATTGTCTTGAGATGTTTGGTGCTACAGTATACGAAGTTATACTCAAAGATTTCAAGGAAAGAGACACTATGATAACTACTTTTATGTCAGGATATCTTGTGGTGAAACACTATTTTGCTTAAATGGTTATGCTTTGACCTGCGCTGTTTTGTTGTTATGCCCTCTTTTATCTCAATCTCCTTTTTTAAAATTATTTACTTTTTTTTATTTTTATCTTTTTAATTGAGGGAAAAATAAAAAAAATAGCAGGATACATTATAGTAACCCATTTGATTTCCTATTAACTTGATTTGAAACCCTGTGTAGCCCTCACCATCTTGTTTTGACTGATTTTCCTCTATTCTGCTTTGCTTGATAGTACCGAGTTCAAAAGTATAGGCAAAACTGTGAAGACAATAGGATTCATTATGATGCCCATTCCGGTTGACTATTATCTTCTTTTAAAGTCCTGTAATGTCTCTAATGTTTTAGTTTTATTCTTTACTGTTTTGTTCAATTTTATTATAACTGATGATATAGGCAATTCTTTTGAAGATAGCAAGAGGCAGTATGGTAACCATTGTTGATCACCTAGTATTTTGTTTTTACATTATCTATTATGTCCATCCTTTTGACTTGACTGACTCTGTTCTGTTATGGCACATTTGGTTTTACTCTCTTAAAAAAAAGTAATAAGAACTGTGGGAGTAATAAAACCCAAAATGTCTAATTGTCACTGTACAAAAGAAAGGAAAAGAAAGTGCTCTAAAGAATATAACTGCATATATATTTAAGTGTATAAGATAGATAACCATATTACTGAGTTTTGTTGATCACTGAACAAAACTGTTCCCAGTCTCACTGTTTGAGACTTTATGGGGTTGGGGATTTAGCTCAGTGGCATAAGCACCTGCCTTGCAAGCAGGCAGTCGTGAGTTCGATCCCTGGTACCAATAAAAAGGAAAAAAAAGAAAGTCCACTTTATATGCTTTGATTTTGTAACTTGAACAACTATTTCTAAGATAACAATATGTAATCTATTAACTAGTGATTAAACAAATTACTGTTTGTTTTCTGAAATTCTGTATAACTTGTACCCTTTTTCTATTTTTTTTCTTTTTCTCCTTAAATAAAAAAATATATATATACTCAAAAAAAAATGTATGAATTGTGTTTAAGAAAGAAAAAGGCTCTCACAGTGCAATCCACTGGTCCCTCTATGGGAAGGAAACACAGGGAAAGAGACCCACACAAATCCAGCAAGCTCTGAGCAGAGACTGAGCAAAGAGTGTGGCATGGCCAAGGCCACTAGGTCTGAGGGCTGCAAGCCACAGATAGGGCAGCAGAGAGTTTCCAAGGGCCGGGCAGGTCAGCTGGGGTCTCCAGCTGAGCACAGTCAGGGAAAAGGCCAGATGAAAGAATCGGTGGAAGCCACCACCAGAGTGCCTGTGGGGTGGGGCCCGTTAGGGCCCCCAGCCAGAATGGAAAACCTCACAGATTCCCAGGGTGGCAGGCAGACTGTTCTGAAGGGCAGTGCCCCAGTGACAGGGAAAAACATAGCTGCAGACCCCAAGTCTGCACTGGTGCTAACCCAGTAAGTGTCAGTCTCAAAAGCATCAGTAAGTTTTACAGTAACTTTGAGAACAAAACCCAAGAATATTTATAGGAAGATGAAAATACCCAGTACCCAATAGGCTAACACTAAAATTTCATGTAAAAAACTTAACCAGAAATGTAAAGAAACACATAAATTATAAATAGAAAATGACACAGATGATACAACCAGTGGAAACCACTAGCCATGTGTATCTGAAACTCACTTTAAAAGATGGGATAAAATATACAATAAGACATTAGGTATTTATCATACTATATTTATATAATCAAAAAGGAGCGGCTAGGAACACAGCTCAGTGATAGAGTACTTGTACAGCATATGTAAAACACTGAGCTAAATCTCTAGCTCAGGAAAGGTTAAAAAAAAGAAACTACTCTGCATGAAGTGAAAAATACACTGTGCTGGAGTAACAGCAGATTAAACACTGAAGAACAAAGGTTTATGCAATGAAAGATATTGAAATATGTCCAAACTGAAGGCAACAGAAAAAATATTTGAGACAACAATGACCAAAACTTTCCAAATTTGCTAAAAACTATGAAATTCACAGATCCAACAAAGTCAGCAAGAAGATCTTGATAGGAGAGGAGGAAAAACTGTACTAAGGAACATCGTAATCAATTGCTAAAAATCAGTGACAAGAAAGTGTTCAAAGTAGCCAGATTACTTCCAACTAAGATAAATAATAACAATATTCAATATTAGTAAATAAAAGACAATGACCTTGAGATAGAAAGAAATTACAAACGACCCTACTATCGCCCCCATTTAACTGAATAAATGAATTTCCAGACCACAGGAAGAAGAAATCCAGGCAGCACATAGAAGAATCTGAGTTGAAGAGCTAAAACTAAGCACAATAAGGGCTCCCAGAACAGAGCACTGGAGAGGAAAGAGCACCACAGGGAACCCTGGAGACCTGCAGATAATCGCTCTGGAGAGATTCACCTTGAAGGAACCCAACCCCACCCCAGCACCCTGCACCTTGACCCTCATATCAATCAGTCACGCTAGTGAGAGCAACCATTAGCTTGTGCTTCCCCAATCCTCTCCTTGGACAACCATTACCCCTGGTACTCGCTTAAGGCTACCCCTGGGCAAAAAGGTTGGGTGGGTTTGCTTGCAGTCCATCAAAGCTAAGCTTCCTTAAGCCTGGACGTCTCAGCTGTGAATCAAAGAATTGCGTGTACAGCAAACCTACTGCATGCACAGAGCCTGACTGAGGTCCCCGCTATGGGACACGCGCACAAGGGTAATGATTGTTACTCTATGGGAACTTAAAGCTCACGCTTCCTGCTGTGCCTAAAGAGAGAAAGTTCTCTGCCCTGGCATAACAGCTTCAGATCTGCCACCATACATGAAACCATGAAACTAACTTATTAGCTTCTAAGTAGGGTAAAGCCAGACTCTCCACAGTCTTGATAGGGAAAAGGGCCTTGTTTCAGTAGTGAAAAAATATTAGCCATAAACATTATCCAAAACCCATGTTAAGGGGCTGGGGATTTAGCTCAGTGGCATAAGCGCCTGCCTTGCAAGCAGGCAGTCATGAGTTCGATCCCCGGTACCGATAAAAAAGAAAAAGACAAAAAAAAAAAAAAAAAAAAAAAAACCCATGTTAAAAAATCTACCCAGGGCTATGGATATAGCTCAGCAACTTGCCTGGCAAGTTTGAGGCCTGAGTTTGATTCTCAGTATAAAAAAAATTTTATCCAGCAATTGGTAGACCAATTCATACAAAAATCTCCCAAAAAAAGACACTCATTCAACTTCCTGTGATATTCACAGAACACTGCATCCATCAACTGCATATGGTAGTTCCCAAGAAAATTTAAAATTACCACTTGATCCAAGTATCCCCTACCCCGCACAGTACAGCACTGGCCACATACACTGGGCAGAGGAAGAGGAGGCTGAGAAATGGAAGTTAAAGGAAGATTTCTCACTGTACTTTGTGTAGATTTTTATCTTTATCATCTCCCCCAAAATAAATTCGATATTAAGTAAATTAAATAAAAAAGTAAATCTAATCATATTATCTGTTTTCAAAAGCATCTCATGCTGGGCACAGTGACACATGCCTGTAACACCAGCACTCGGGAGGCTGAGGCAGGAGGATCGTTCAAAGTTTCAGGCCAGCCTGGGCTATAGAAGCAAATTCAAGGCCAGACTGAACTACACAGCAAGACCCTATCTCAAAAGAAAAGAAAAAGAAAGCGAAAGCATCTCACAGCCCTTAAAAGTACATCTACACATCTGAAGATGAGTTTACTGAGCTTCACGTGGTCCACTACTTCTACCTCCCAGATTCACTCTCTCCTTGGCGTTCCACATCCAGCCATGCTGCTTTCTCCACCTCTTCAACACGCCCCACTGCTCCTGAGCATCAGCAAATGCTTTACTCTCTTGGTCACCCTTTTAATAATATACTGCCCTCTCAAATTAAACAGTGACCACCTCCAGAAAGCTCTTTCCTCCACAATCCATCCTCAAGCCTGGGATGGACTCAGTCCTGTGCCACTTCCGTATCCTAGAATCCTCCAACAATAGGGCTTTTCACTCCATTAGTACTTTATTTCCTCCAGAAAACCATATACACGGGGTGTACCTCAACTTCCAGTGAGATCCTAGGGTTAAAACCAGGCCTGGTGTACAGGTGGCCTCCAATGAATACGTTAAGTAAAGTGAATTGATGTCATTAAGAAGTAAATGGATACACATATACACCAATAAACAGAAAGGAACAGATGCAGACAGATTCGGCAAAGAAAATAATACAGCAAGCCAGGTGTGGTACACATGCCTGTGATCCCAGCACTTGGGAGGCTGAGGCAGAGGGATCACCACAAATTCAAGGCCAGCATAGACTCTAGGCCTCGCAATGAGTTCAAAGCCAATCTGAACTACATGGCGATATGCTGACTCAAAAAACTGGAAAAAATAAAAAGAAGAAAAGAAAATAATAAGGCAAGTTCTACTCCACATTTTTTCTTTCTTTTTTTCCTTTTCTGGCTTTTTGAGACAGGGTCTCGCTGTGCAGTTTGAGCTGGCCTTGAGCTCACTTTGTAACCCAAGCTGGTTTTAAACTTGGAACAATCCTCCTGCCTCAGCCTCCTGAGTGCTGGGGCTACAGGTGTGCACCACCACAGCCGGCTTTAATATGTTTCTTAATGTCATCTCTGCATCTTAGTTATCAATAGCACTCACCCAAAAAGAGGATCAGGAGAAAGAAGAGTACTACAAGGAAGGAGAGCGGGGCTGGATACGGTCAAAGTATTATATACAAGTCTAAAAGCGCTACAGTAAAACCCATACTCTGTGTAATTAAATGCACTCATGAAAAGTCTTTATACCAATCTTCTCAGTAGTTAACTCCTCAAATGACATTACTGTTATATACGATACAATAATTCCACTTCTGACTATAAACCCACAAAAGTTAATAACAGGGTCTTATCATCTGGTTTCTCTTCAGATGATACAAAACTTTCGCCTTTTACTAAAATCAAGTCTCTGAGGGCCGGGGTGCAGCTCAGTGGAAAGGTGCCCACCTGGTGAGCGCAAGACTCTGGGTTCAACCCCAGCACCGCAAAAATACAAAATGTAGAGGCTTTACACCTGTGCACCCTGCAATCGAAAGATGGAAATGCCCCACAATGTCGATGAAAAGTAAATGGACACACAAAATGTGGTATTTACATAAAATAGCTTTAAAAAGGAAAAATTCTGATACATGCAAAAACACAAATGAAGCGTCAAGAGATTATGCTAAATGAAATAAGCCAGGGGATTATGTGACTTCACATAAGGGGACGTTGTGCCTAAAATCGGTGCAATCACAAGCTTAGAGTGTGGGAGGAAGCCTGCTGGGAGCTGGCAGGGGCAACACACAGTCACTGTTCTATGGGCGCAGAGTTTTAGTTTGGGATAATAAAAACCTCCAGAGACAGACCACCTAAAAACAGTTAAAGCAGTAAACTTTTGTTTTATATATATATTCTATCACAGTATTTAAAGAGAGGAAAATGCCCACATTGTGGTAAGTACATGCAGTCTCAACTACTCAGAAGGCTGAGGCAGGAGGGTCACCTGAGCACACAAGCTTGAGGGCTCAAAGTCACCTCAGGGTTGTCAGCTTGAGCAATACAGAGAAATCCAAAAAAAAAAAGCAAGAGAGAAAGAAACCCAGTGTCTTACCATCCTATTAACTTAGCACACCCCATACTGAAATTATCATTTCTTCTAAGTCAAACGCCAAGTCTAATTTCCCCAGTTCAATCAAAGGAATATCATACAGAGTAAAGTTGACAGTATTTGTATACTGTTTCCTCTCACTTCTTTAACTCCTAGACCTTTTATTTCTAAGTTCTAGAAATCTACTCTTCACATTCTCCATGCTTTCTTCTTTAGTAACTTCTTTTTGGGGACGGGACCCAGGACCTCACACATGCTAGCCAAGCACTCTAGCAGTGAGCTGCATCTGCAGCCCAGATTCTGTAACTTCTAACATCTTACACTGATATTGCACAAGTTTACTTATGTTACCTGTTTAAACGTTAAGTATGTGTAGTATGCATTAAAAGTGAGTTTAAACTGTTTATTACTCTAGAAATAACAGTGTCACTATTAAATTTCAACTGTGATCAATACCTTTGCTTAATTTTTACAGAAAGCCTCTTTATGTTGCCATTTATTTTATACATCACAGCAATCGATCTTCTGATGCAGTCAATGAATATTTTACACCTACCTTTGTATGGTATTCCATTGCATCTAATTCGCCTTGATTGAAAACAACGCTTCTCTTACGCTTCTAAGGAACAGAAAATTATAGGGAAAACGTTACACTGTCATCTACTACAGTACCGACTTTTTAAATGTACCAATACTGCTTTTTTATCTTTCACATTTTCTATATGGTGTATCTCCATCTTTAAGAGGTGATAATTTCCACTGAGGTCAAAATTGGTGCAAATGTATGGACTAGTGAGGCAGTGCCCCCAAAGTTAAAGGGGAAAAGTCACCTCAACCTTTCCACTAATGAGAACCAGTTCACATGATAAACTGTAGCACCAACAACCAAGATAAAGGTGGGAACCTCAATTCTGCATAAACATTAACCAGTATGGCATCACACAGCAGCTCATGTATATGACACAATCATTCTTAACTTTCATTCCCAAAAAGAGGAACTACTGTGGGTTAGCAAAGGAAATTCCACTGTGCTTTAATAGCACTTTATGATTGATCTGAGGATTAAGTAGAAATCAATATCAACGTGTTACCAAAATCCCAGCTGACTAAAGTAAAAAGTCTGCTGGCTGAATAAATGAATTTAAGAGCACACTAGGTATATAATTTACCTTAAGCATACAAGAAACAAGGTCAGGTTTGTCAAGGTAACATTGTTGCTTCTGTTCACCTATAGTATCTAAGCATTCTATGTATTTTCTCTGCTGTCCCCAACACATAGATGGTCAATAAATATTTACAGGGGGGAAAACTATGCACCAAAAAAGCAGTCACAAGAATATGAAAAGTTCTACTTCAGGTACTTAGATGGATATACTAAATTATTTCCCTTTTCTAATTCTCTTTTCTTTTTTTTCTACTCAATTATAAGACACATGAGGGCAGGGTTAGTGTTTATCTTGTTTCATCACTCTATGTACAAAAGCATGCAGAAAGAGCTCAAATATTCCTTCGTGATAATGAATATTATTCCTACCACAACAAAAGACAACATCGATAAGGTATCTAAAGTGGTTTTTGTATAATCACCTTTAAGCTCCTGAAATATACAAAAGAATTCAAGCAAAAATAATTTGATCCTGTAGGACATTCTCAGACTTTACTAAAGAATTGTGCCTCCAAGGCATATATATGAATATATGCATTTTATAAACAGACACATTTTCCATATTAGCTTCCTCTTTCATCACTAAAAACATTTTTAAAATACCTAATTTCTTTCAGACTCTTATTATATGAGCTGATCCCCACAGGATAGGTCCTTAAAAATCATTCAAAATCCATTGACAGCTTTTTAATTCTGTATAAAGGAAATACACCTTTTAGTTTAAAAAAAAAAAAAAAAAACCTAGTGTGACTAGGTAGGTAGGGAAAAAAAGGTTCTGTTGTTTGCCTTTGTTTCACTTATAGAACACTCGCTTCTCAGACAATTTTGCTTATGTGAGAAATATACAAATTGTTCTAAGAATGGCAAAATGTTAGAACAGAGTTAAAAATTACTCTTACACCTTCTTAAAGGCTCATAGATTCCTTTAACTTAATAAATCACAAGATATTTGAGATACTGGAATGGAAATTTTGCACTCTATGGAAGAGGAAAAGTTTTTAAAACATGCTACCTTCCCAACAATAGCAACAGAAATTCCTTTTCCAGCAGCGTCCACCATATCTTCTCCTCCATTACTCTGCCGGCCTTCTTCATGCACGACTGGAGTTATGTAAGGTTTGACAATATTAAATAGATCAGATCGAAAAGCGTATTTCTGCGTGAATGTTCCACAGTCTCCTCCATCCCTCATCTCCGGCTTAGTGATAGCATCAGAAGCAGTCAAGGGAGCAGAGGACCCAGAAGCAGTGGTAGCCAATTGAAGACAATCGGAGCGCACATGAGTGGACTCATTTTTACTGTGTGGAAGCTGATGAGGCTGGCGAACTTGATAGTTTATCTTGTTAATGAAAGAAAAGTGATCCAGTAACCAACCAGACGACAACTGCTGTACCACAGACATTTGACCATAAGAAAAAGTCTGGGAATTAGAAATCTGAAGTCGAACTCAACTTAGAAGATCAAGTTCTTCAATGTACTGCATTTCAGTACACAGGCACTTCATGTGCACAGACTTGACAACGCGAATATACAAAGAGAATTTAGCATGCTCAGGTCAATACAAATAGCAGCTCTAAAGAAAAATGCAAAGTTTTAATATGAACTTCAAAGTTGATGATTCAAATTTTTCAGTCAACTTGGCCAGAGAGGGTGTAACTTGACATTATCTGGAACCCGGATTTGATCGTCTTGCTATCTTTGGGGCCCTCCACAGCTTTATTGCTTTGGTCCTCATGTCTACCCACAGGTCCACATGCTCCAAGGAAGGAAGTCATCCAATCTTGAAAGGTAAAAAGTGTCCTGTTAAGAAAGCACAGTATACCGCCTATGTGAACTCATTCTTTTCAGGAGATAAATGAAGCTAGAGAGAGCCACAGAACTTCAAAAGGAGCTGTTCGCAGATCAGGCTGGGTTTTCCATGCTATATACACTACAGTAAATGAAGCCTGTTCTCCATAATCACTGCCCTCCTTACCCATGTCTATCAGTGGAGAAACAGAGTTAAAAGATTGGACTACACAGAGCAAATACAATCTTAATGGCACACACAATCTTAATGACACCAAGTCTTACCAAAACTGACGGTTAATGGTCTAGATCTGCTTCGAGTAACTAAGTTTTTTCCAAGCTTCTGTTTTCTTTTATTCAAAATACATCTTTCTAAATGTAATGTAATGGAGAATTTAAGAAGGGGAGGGATGGGGGAGAAACAAGCAGTTAGTAACAGAATGAATAACAACAGCATTTAGAGTCAAATTTCTAACTCCAAGTGTTAGCAGTATGACCACGGAAAAGCTGACCTCACTGAGCCTCCAGCCATCATCTTACGACATCCACCTTCCAGATTTAAATGACACAATCCATCAGAAATGCCATGTATAATGCCTGGCACACAGCAAATGCTCATATAACTAAATGCTATTATGAGGGCCAGTGACCCTGGGGATCCTCTGTCCCCCTTCACAGTTACCACATTTAACTCCTCATTTAACTCCACGTTGTACTCCTCGTTTAACAACCCAGGCCCATTCCTGCAGTCATTAATTGAATTGGTTGCTAAATGAGGAATTGTAGCATTTCTTTTTTTTTTTTTTTATTTAAGGAGAAAAAGAAAAAAAACAGAAAAAGGGTACAAGTTATACAGAATTTCAGAAAAAATAAAGAGTAGGAAATCACTAGTCAATATATTGTCATCTTAGAAATAGTTGTTCAAGTTACAAAATTAAAGCATATAAATGAACATTCAAACAATGAGACTGCAAACAGTTCTGTTCAATGATCCAACAAAACTCAGTAATATGGTTATCTATCTTATACACTTAAATATACATGCAGTTATATCCTTTAGAGCACTTTCTTTTCCTCTCTTTTGTACAATGACAATTACACATTTGGGTTTTATTACTCCCACAGTTCTTATTACTTTTTTTGAAAAGAATAAAATCAAATGTGCCATCACAAAACAGTCAGTCAAATCAAAAGGATGGACATAATACATAATGTAAAAACAAAATACAAGTTGATCAACAATGGTTACCATAATGCCTCTTGCTATCTTAAAAAGAATTGCCTATATCATCACTTACAATAAGATTGAACAAAACAGTAAAGAACAAAACCAATAAAACCAAAACCTTGGAGACATTACAGGACTTCAAATGAAGATAACAGTCAAACCAGAATGGGCGTCATAATGAATCTTTATTGTCTTCACAGTTGTTGCCTATACTCTCAAACTTGGTACTATCAAGCAAAAGAGAATAGAGGAAAATCAGTCTAAACAAGATGGTGAGAGCAATACAGGGTTTCAAATCAAGTTACTAGGAAATCAAAGTGGGTTACTATAATACATCCTGCTATTTTTATTTACTTTTCCCTTAATTAAAAAGATAAAAATAAAAAGTAAATAATAAGAAAAGGAGACTGAGATAAAAGAGGGTATAACAACAAAACAGCACAGGTCAAAACACAACCATTTAAGCAAAATAGTGTTTCACCACAAGATATCCCGACATAAAAGTAGTTACCATAGTGTCTCTTTCCTTGAAATCTTTGAGTATAACTTCGTATACTGTAGCATCAAACATATCGAGACAATGTAAAACCATTCAAGAGAATGACAGTATTACAGGGTATTTAGAATCAACTAACAGAAAATAAACAATGGTTTCTGTATAATTTCCTTGTCTATAAAAGTTTTTGCTTATATTATCACATATAATAAAATCCAGTAAGATACAACCTGATAAGAACGATGGAGGCAGAAAAATAAAAGCTTATGGGACTTCAAAGCAAGATGATACTAAATCAGCACTAGCTATTATGATGTCTTGTCTTCTCCAAATAGCTGTTCCTACCATCCAACCTTCTCTGCCTCATTTCTGTTGAGCTCTTTTTCTGTCATTAGTTGTTAGTTTGTCTTCATTTCGCTTTCTTGTTGGGAGCCACCACATTGCCGAGCCGCCGCATATAGCAATCATGCGGCCTGTGGTAAAGAGTAAAGCCTGAGTTAGATTACCCCTCCCATCGAGCACGTTAGTTTCCTGCTTACCGCGTAAACAACCCGCTCAATAATATGTTAAGCCAATCAGCTTGCCTTGCTTACTTTAACATGATTGGACACTGTATCCGTATATATACTGGTGCCACCCCTGGGGGGAAGTAGAAGCCCGGAAGGAGCCGCGGAGAGCGGACCGGTAGAGGCTTCGGAGCGAAGCCCGGAAGGAGCCGCAGAGAGCGGACCGGTAGAGGCTTCGGAGCGAAGCACGGAAGGAGCCGCGGGGAGCGGACCAGAGGAGGCTTCGGCTGGGAGCGATCCCAGGGCAGGCTGTACGGAGAGAAAATAAAAGAAAAGGTTGTCCACTGCCAGACTTTGTCGTGTGTCCTTCCTGCCGGCCGGGAGCGACATCGACATTTGGTGGCCCGCACGGGGAACAACTGATCACCCCCGAGACGTGGTAGTGGACAACGTTCCTTGATACAGCACTGCGAGACAGGTGAGTAGGGGATAAACCTGGGCCCTGGGTGGCGCGCACCTACAGGGTTTTTAGACTCCCCTCAGGCTCACGCGTAAGTGGCGGATTTTTGGGCCTCACGCGGTGAGTAACATATTAAATATGGGTAACGTACCGAGTAACGACACCCAGCCCTTGGTACAGGTCCTCCGGAAGCTCTTAAAGTCCAGAGACCTCAAGGTGGGACGCAAAACGCTGGAGAGCTTTTTTTGAGGAGATTGATAGTTTCGCTCCCTGGTTCTTGCCCACAGGGCACTTAAACCTGCCCTCGTGGGAGAAGTTGGGCAGGGATCTTTCTCTAGCGGAAAGGGAGGGCGGGGCTTCGGTCTTCGCTCGGCCACTGTGGGAAATGATATATGCATGCTTGAAGAGCGAGGGTGGTTGCAGGGAAGGTTCTCAAGAGCTCATTAAAGTGCGTAGGGCATTCAAACAGGCCCAGTCAGGGAGCTCCCGGGAGGGGTCCGTCAAAGGAGACAAAGATATAAAGGAGGAAGACGGGGCTCAGGCCTCGGAGTCGTCTGACTCCGAGAACGAGGAAGGCTTAGACAACGATGAGACCAAGGAGCCTAGATGCCAAGAGGATAGGCCGCCCGATAAGGAGTCGCAGGGTTCTTTCCCAGCGTTGCCCCGCGAATTGCGCTCCGCTCAACTTGGTCTGCGGAGGAGTAGAGAGCTCCTGAGCGCCCCCTGGCGCGAGAGGGAGGCGAAGCCTTCCGCCCCACCTTGGGGGCTGTTCCCGGAAGCGATCCCTCGCCACGAGGCGGCCGCGTGGGAGCTCCCTCCCCTTTCGCCAGAACAGGAAGTGATGCACGGGCCCCCATTTTCCGCCCAATCACGGCCGCCGTCTTATGCTCCGCCGCCGGCGGGTCGGTATTTTTACAGGCGGCTTTGGCAGGGGGGACGTTTGTCTCATGAGGTACATCCACCACCTGGGATAGATAGTGGCCCCTACGGGATATTTCCTGTACAAGTAGCTATGGGCCAGGGACGTAATGCATGGGAGCCTTTTGAGATAAAGCAGATTAGAGAACTTAAAAATGCAGTTACAACCTTTGGGCCGACTGCGCCTTACACCATTGCCATGCTGGAGAACCTGTCTTCTGGGCCCCTCACCCCCGTGGACTGGATTCAGCTGGCAAAGGCGTGTCTGCCCTCGGGTAGTTACCTGGATTGGCGAGCCTGGTACACAGAGTTCTCTGCCGAGCAGGCTGAGAAAAACGCCGGTCGAGAAAACGGGGGCTGGGGATTTAGCTCAGCGGCATAAGCGCCTGCCTTGTAAGCAGGCAATCGCCAGTTCGATCCCTGGTACCAATAAAAAAAAAAAAAAAACAAAACAACGAAAAAGATAAAAATAAAAAATAAAAAATAAAAAACAAAAAGGGGGAGTAAGCCAAGGCCTGCCTCCAAAGGCGCGGTTATCTATGGCATGACAATGGATGGGCCCGGATCCAGTAATCAGCTGGAACCGAGGCGCGGTTTGTGTTTTTCTGCAGGAATCGGGACGAGAACCACTGTGGGTACCGGAGAGACTGACATGGGCAACAAAGCCCTCGACTGAAGATCAGACCTGCCCTACCAGAGATCCATCACAGACCAACCAACAAGATGAATAGAAATAGCGGTAGCCCGAAATGGACAAGAAGATCCTCAGGCATATGCATGGCTCGCTCGCCTAGCCTACGACCGAGTCTAGGGACGGTGAGCTTCCCACACTCCTCCTCTAAAAAATTATGATATAGCAGGGTAGATGAGTCAATGACGGGTAAGAGCATGCCTCCCCAGCATGACTCAACCTAAGACAGGCCCTACCCCATACCGCACGAAAGCCGCTGAATTACTAGGTTCCGCCCAAACCAAATGTCGCCCCGGGGGGATCATGCGGAGCGACATGAGTGTATGCCTGTGTGCATCCAGGTTCCGTCCGGTTCCTTCCTGGCCCTGGAAAAAGGACGAGGGCCTCGGGGCCTCGGCAGACTTGGGGACGGCCGACCCGGGCCGACGCCGAGAGCCCTTGGTGGGCCTCCTATCAGGGCATAGGCCTCTACACTCAATTCAGGACGGGCTGCGATGCGTAGACTTATTTAAAATAAAAAAGGGGGAGATGTTGGGAGCCACCACATTGCCGAGCCGCCGCATATAGCGATCATGCGGCCTGTGGTAGAGTAAAGCCTGAGTTAGATTACCCCTCCCATCGAGCACGTTAGTTTCCTGCTTACCGCGTAAACAACCCGCTCAATAATATGTTAAGCCAATCAGCTTGCCTTGCTTACTTTAACATGATTGGACACTGTATCCGTATATATACTGGTGCCACCCCTGGGGGGAAGTAGAAGCCCGGAAGGAGCCGCGGAGAGCAGACCGGTAGAGGCTTCGGAGCGAAGCACGGAAGGAGCCGCGGGGAGCGGACCAGAGGAGGCTTCGGCTGGGAGCGATCCCAGGGCAGGCTGTACGGAGAGAAAATAAAAGAAAAGGTTGTCCACTGCCAGACTTTGTCGTGTGTCCTTCCTGCCGGCCGGGAACGACATCGACACTTTCTGCTCCATTCATTGTGGCCTCTGTTTCTGGAATCTTGGTATTTTTCTTTTTTTAGAATGTCCTGCAGTATTCTCTGTAGAGCTGAATTGGTGATTGCAAATTCCCCTAGTTCCTCTTTATCCTGGAAGCACCTTGTTTTTCCATCAATTTCTAGGGACAGTTGTGCAGGATATATCAATCTTGGCTGGAAGTTATTATCTTTCAAAGCCTGAATTATTTCCCCCCACGCTCTTCGTGATTTGATGGTTTGTGCCGAGAAGTCTGCTGTAATTCTGATGGGTGTTCCCTTATAAGTGATCTGTTTCTTGTCTTTGATGGCTTTTAATATTCTGTTCTTATATTGGGTTTCTGGAATTTTGATTATTATATGCCTGGGTGTAGCTCTGTTTGGGCTGTAGGTGGCTGGAGTCCTGTATGCCTCATACATCTGAGTATCTTTACCTTTTGCTAAATTAGGGAAATTCTCTTGGATTATTTCTGTGAATAGCTTTTGTAGTCCATTTGTTTGTGTCCCTACTTCTTCTTTTACGTTCTTAATTCTGAAGTTATAGATCCTCTTATCATCTTCTAGCCCTTGTATTATTGCTGTTTGTTTACTTGTTATTTTTAAGAAGTTTTTCATTTCATGCTCCCATATTACAAATCTGCCCTCCAATTCAGATAATGTATCCTTAGTTTCTTTCAAGCTGTTATGCCAGTTTTCAATAGAGTTTTTAGTTTCCTGGTAATCTCTTTGAACCTGCTTCACGTATTCTATGTTTTCTCTATTTTCTCCATCAAACAATTCTCCCTTTTTTTCTGTTCTTTCATTCCACCATCTGTTTTTTCTTGGGCAGTGCTTAGCATTTCTCTAACCTGCTTATATCTTGCTTTACTTCATTAAATACTTCACTTTTGAACTCATCTATGAGGCTCCAGAGATACCACTTTATGTCTATTGGTGCCGTGTCTGATATTGCATGTTTTCTGTCCTCATTCTCCTTTGCATTTACCTTTTCTGGATCAGTGTTCTCAGGATTGGGGGCCGAGGACTCTTTCTTGTTGTTCCCTCTTCCCATACTTTTTGTTCCTTCCATACAAGCGTATATAGGAGGCACAGTTTCTTGCTTTTTCAGTTACAGTTTGTTTGAATTGTGCTGGCTAGGTGTTCCCGCCCACTGCAGTGTACTAGGGAGACACAGACCTGGGCAGCCTCTGCTGGACCCACCCCTCCAGGGCTACTCAAGGCTTCACTGCTAAGGTACACCTCCAGGCGCTGGCTACTCAAGGCTTCACTGCTAAGGTACACCTCCAGGCGCTGGGACCTGGTTTCGGCTAGCCTACTGGGTCTTAGTTCGTGGCATCACCCAGGCCAAGCACTCCCCACCAATCCCGCTTGAGAGGGGAATATGCGACTAAAGTCACTATAGTGTCCTGTTCTGGCTAGTCTGGCTGGTCCCAGAATGTCTTCTGGGACCAGCGGAGCCTCCTCATCTATGGAAGAGTCCCTGTTCCTCTCACTCACCACAGGTCGACGCAGCGCTCCCCGCCAGTTCCGCTCTCAACTCCGTTCAAGGATTCCTGCTCTCAGAGGTTTCGCTTCTCTGTCCATGCTGTGCCGATTCAGTCGCAGCGGCAGCGGCAGGAAATTCAAATCATGGCTTCTAGAGGTGCAGGTTCCAGCTTCCACATTGAAATTTTATCTGTTCTGGTTATAGCACCAGGATTGCATTTCCAGTTGGTTTCTCTCAGCTTAGTTCGTTCCTGGGTCAGCAGGGTATATCTCCACTTTTTTAGGACTCCTCATACCGCATCATTCCTGGATTCTAAGCTGGCTATCTCAGAGAGCGTCCATAGCTGCTGTTATCTATCCACCATGTTCTCGGAATTGTAGCATTTCAATATTCAGAACAAAGAAATGGTTAAAGGAAACCCAAATGATGACTTTTGCTTGCATAACTCTTACACGCAGTACTGAAATACACAATAGGACATAAAACTACAGTATCATATCAGACAATACAATGCGCAAAACTTAAACTACTGTATAAACAAGACATACTGTGCAAAGAAAGACACTGATGCTCTAAAAACAAGATGTATAGAACTGTACAAAAAAAGATGGGTTGTAAGTCTGAACAGTGGGTCCTAAGTTCAAACAGCACACCTCGGTCATTAAGTCCAGACAGGTGTTAAATGAGCAGGCCATTAAACCAAGAATGTTTGCATTACACATCACGCTATAAAAATAGTTAATGAAAATGATGTTTTTCTTTAAAAATGCATGCTATATAACAACCTTTAAAATAAAATACAGCAGCCACCATCCAATGATCACATCAGCTAGGTTCAGGCAATATGGATCCCACACATGTAGGAAAAAGCAGAGATGAAAATGATTCAGCAAATTCAGGATATCTGCTGACACAGAAGTGCTATAGAAAGTGCTCATCAATAATCAACAGGTGCAGCCCAGATATGCTCTGTAAGACATCAATCAAGCGTCTACTCCTGCATCTCCTCACATGCTCTTTGCTGGCATCTTGGCAGCACCCATGAATCCGTCTGGGTCACATTGGTCACACGATCGATCCTGCGGGAAGCTGTGTTTTGAATGTGCCAATCCAGCTCACTAGTGAAGCAGCTTCTGCAGGTCACTGCAACGGACTCACAAAACTTAAACTATTGCGAATAAGACAGCACAGAAGCATGAACTGCCGGACTCTGTAAAAACTACTGGAAATGCCGAATACCCTTGACAGTGACGCTGACGTTCATGGAGCCCCTGCTCTGTCCACCTCTGAAGCAAATGTCTTAGAGGACAGAAAGACATAGAAAGCATATAGTAAAGAAGCCTCCTACCCGGTACTAGAAGACAAAAATTAAAACACATAAACCACCACAGGGCCAAGAATAACAGTTATAATCAATTACTCAATTGTTTCCTGTGGTTTGGAAGGTTATAACCCTTGAGAAAATACGTGGACATTTCCACATATCAAAAAGCATCAAGGCAGCATCACTTCTAAGCATCACTGGCTTATATCTGAGAATTTATTGAACTCCAAATGAATTAGTTTTATTATCACCTGAGAAGCTGTTGGAAGCGAATAGTACTAAGACGTAAGCTCCATAAAAAGAGTGTGCTGATAAATTTTTCTGACACTCTGGCCCAGCTGCTCTGCCTGTATCAACCGTGATCAACAAGTCTCAGAAGACTGTGCTCCAAATCATTCACTTCTACTCCAAAACAGGCAAACCATGTATTTCTTAGATATTAAGGCAAAAAAAAAAAAATCAGGTTATTTTGCCCCAATATTAGACATTCTACAAACAATGTATGTTTTGAAGACACCTGTCTTTGCATGAATGCTGTGTTTATTTGCACAACCTGCTTAGTGACTGTGCCTAAACTACAATAAAGCTGCAGGCATTCTTCCTTTAAGGACTGAGTTCCATTTCCGAGCCTAGTTAGTAAATGAATTGTCACTGAATAAGGAATTGTAAGTAGTATGCACATTACAATACTCAAAACAAAGAAATTGTCAAAGGAAAATGATGATTTTCCTTTCTTTGAGTAACTCTTACACACAGTCCTGTAATGTATATCAGAATATAAAACTACAGTGCTGTGTAGTATAATCAGCAAGGTACAGCACTGTATAAACAAGGTGTAATGCACAAGCAAAGACACGAGATATACAGAACTGTACCCCACTCCCCTACTCCACCCCCAAAAAGGACGGGGTCGTAAGTCAGAATAGTCACACCTCAGTCATCAATCCAACCGCCGGTCGTTAAGCGAGGAATATCTATAATGGCATGTGAAATCTAGAAATTTAGACTGGAACATGGAAACTCAGATACAAAGGGCCACTTTCCTGAAAGTTACAATTCAACTTAACTGCTGCCGGATCCAAGAATCCGAGCTTTACAGAGCTCCCCGCAGTCTCTAGGCGTTGGGCAAGGTCTGTCACTAGTAGCTGAGATGTTCCATTCTAGCAGGGTAAGCTGCGGCAATTAATGTCCCCTTCTCCTACTTCCACACGTCCCTCACATCTAGCCCTGGCCGCCTCCTACTGCGCAGGGGCCACGCCGGCGCAACCCTCGGAGCCGAAAGAACCCACTGTCAACAGCCTTTCCCTCACCAAAAGTGCAAGTCGCTTTCCCAGACTCTCACCATGAAAACGGTACCCTTTCATAAGCAGAGCTCGAAAGACGCCCGAGCCAAAGAAATCTCTAGTCCTAGGAGAACATGGGCGCCGCCATGTTGCTGTACGGAAAACAGTTTCCTGGGAGATTAGGAGCGCTTGGCCCGTTCTTCGGCGACGTCGAGACCTCTGCACTGCAGAGCCAACTGGAAGCGTCGGTCAAATTTCACGAAGGACATTCACACTGTCCCAGAGCCGGCGGTGTGCCTGCTGGGCGACAGGAAGCAACCCGCACACGGATTTTTCTGCGACGAATGGCGGCGCGTAAGAATTGCGTATCTGTGGCGCACATTGCGTGATGACGTACACGCCGGCGGAGATTTTAAAATTCAAACCGACTGGACGGACGGAGACAATAGCTCTTGTTTTGGCGGCTTGGGCTTAGTTCTGGAGATCGGTTTCCCTGCCTGGCGGAAATTCGGCTTCGGTCTTGTCGGGAAACTGGAGGAAGGTAAGTAGTGACACTGGGTTAACTTTGTTATCCCAAAACTGTCTCGGAGGTAGAAGGTGACGCTGAAGGGCAGCATTGGCGCCGAATCTGAAGTCCTGGCGGGAGAATGGAGGCTGGAGCCTGGAACCGGAGAGGGGCGGCGAGGGGGGCGAAGGAGGACCTGCGGGAAGTTTGTGCGCGCGGAGAAGAGCAGCTTCTTAGGGACCGTGTCGTGAGCATCCGCCGTCTTGATCTTCAGTCCTGGCCGTGCCTCGTCAGTGGACTCATGAGAGGGTGGAGAAGCTGAACAGGTTGACGAGGGTACCGTAAAGGAGGACAATCAAGAGCCAAAGCCAAGGAAGTGTGTGTAATCCCAGCACTTAGGAAGCTGACGCAGGGGCTACCAAGTGAGTTCAAGGCCAGGCTGAACTGCTTAACGAGACCCTGTCTCAAAAAAACTGCCAGGGCTCCTTCTGGTCTGAATCCGGCCCAGCTGTTTGGAGTTCCGGGTTCGTTCACCCACCTGCAGCCAAGACTACTAAAAAAAAATTCCCTAAAATGGGCAAATGTGCTTGTTTACAATTTGACTAAATGGGGAAGGCAGCTATGTCGGAATACCCAGATCCACTCCAATTTATAGAAGGGGTAGAACCGAAGTCCGGAAATAACCATATGTCGATTTAGCCAAGCTTTGAACCAGAGTCCAAAAAAATGAGATATTAATTTGCTTTGAACAGGAGGCAATTTATAGCCCATTTTATAGAGTGGAAGATTTACTCTTGTTGAAGAGGAAATTGGAAGACAAGGACTATCATGGATGTAAACTGAGAAATAGATGAGCATAACACAGGAGAGACCAGCATTAGGAAAAGGAAACAGAATAGCTCCAGCCTTTGATGCTAAAAAAGCAGCCATGCTGAGGGGAATAAGGGAGCTTGAGGTAGTTCTTATCGGGCAGTCCCTGACTTCCCATTGAAATGGTCACAGCAGTAATATGGTCAGGTTCATATTCAGGGTGTTGCTACCATGGATACCAAGAACCACACCTTATTCATCTTTGTTTCTCCTGTATTGTCTCGTGCACTCTCTCATATACGGTGAGGAGTTAATAAGTGTTTCTGTGTGTTGGACACTTGAAAGTGAAGATCATCTTTGCAAATGAGGACTTCAGGGTATAAGAACAAGTAAAGGTAACCCAGGAGAAGCCCAGTGTGGTAATGCAATCCCAGCACTTGGGAGACAGATGGGCAAGTTCCAGGGCGACCCAGAATACATAGCAAGTTCAGAGCCAACCTGGGCCTCCATAGCCAGAACCTGTGTCATCAATGTCCAGGGGAAAGATGTCCCTGAAAAAATAAAACAACTTCACTGTCTTGCTGTTTGAGAAAAAAGATAATAGCTGTTGCATAATGCCCCATCTACACCTAGAACGTTTTTCTAATACCAAGTTCATGAATGCAGGTCACAAGCATGAAGCGCAGTTCTGTTTCCAGTGGTGGTGCTGGCCGCCTCTCCATGCAGGAGTTAAGATCCCTGGACATGAATAAACCAGGCCTTTATACCCCTCAAACGTAAGTGCCTCCACCTGTGGTTCTCTCCTGGCTGCCTCGTCGTCTTGGGCAAAGCAGTTGTAAAGATGGTGAATAGGTGTAGAATAAGTGATGTCCAGGGTGAATCCTGTCAGTTCCCAAGGGCACCTAACTTCAATGAAGTCTTAAAAATGGGCATGATACAAGGTGTTGTGTGTCATCACATTTGTTTCTTAAGAGTTCCACTGCCAAGTGATTTACCCATCACCTCCTAAAAGTACAACTTCCCCCATGGATCTCTTTCCTTCTTGTTTTCCTCCTTTATTATAGAGCTGCCTGTTTAAGCAGACTACCGTAACTCAGTTTCCTGACATATTTCCCACTGCCAAAGTTCTTAATCAAATCAGAGCAATATTTGCTCCAGAGTCAGGCCATAATATGGTCACAGCCTATAGAACTCCTGTTAAGGTTTGAGTCTAGAGGTCCCCTCCCCCCAAAATCTAGTGCAGTCATAGCTGAGGCTTTTTCAGAGGTGGCTGGATCTAGTGTGTGATTGATTCATGGTGCAATGCTAGGATTAAGGTGGGACATTACTAACGCAGTCCACTGATTGGTCTGGCACCACCCTAATCCTAGTAGCCTGAATACAGTAGAAGGGACGCAGAGGGGCTCGTCTTCCCTCTTCCTTGCTGTGCCATCTTCTGCCCACTGTGAACTGTTTCTCCTGTGCAGTGCCTCTCTGCCATGCCCCCTGCCTTGGAACCAGCCGACTAGGGACTGAAACTCCTATAACTGAGCTAAATAAACCTGTCCTTCTTTAACTGGGTGTCAGGTGTTTTACCTCAGCAATGAGAAAAGTAACTGAGGCAACACCGCTTCTCCAAACTTTTTCCTCAAGATTTGCTGGAAATAAGTGTGCAAAGAAGCTTGCTGTCACACATGGGAAATTTTCCTGTAAGTGAGGTTCTGCCAGCTAACACAGTGTTTCAAGCCACTGTAGTCTTTCTCTGACACCTGGGTACACGTTACTTGCTAACTGTTAAATTACTTGGGTTTATATAGCAAGTACAGCTACTTTTTGAAATTTGAACTACTTTTGTCTTTTTCCTACTGAATAGGTTAAACAGATTTTTTGTATATGACTTACACCAAAACTTTTTAGGTCTTAAATTGTACTAGAAAAAGGTTGCCACTGTCAATGTTCATTGTCCATAATTTAAATAGTATTTATTAAGTGCAAATACATTCTGCAAGTTTAAAAGAAAAAACTTCAAATGTGGCTATTATTCTATGATCAAGTGCATTTATTTTTTCTTTTTTCCTTTTTCTTAAAGTTGTTATCTATAAATGTACAAGTTTTAAGATGGAATCATAGTATAGAACAAATTTTGTTCTGCTTTTTAGTATTTTAATATTATAAATGATAATGTATCTTAACGCATCTCAGCCACAGCAACTAAGTTTGCTGCTAAAAATGTTTGTGATTTTTGAATAAAGTTTATATGTAAGGGAGAGGAAGTATTGGTTCCGACATATTTCCAGAAGTTTTCTGAAAATGATATTTTTATATTTATTTTAAAGAGTTCTTTTTCTACTTTTTTTTTTTAAAGCAAAGAGAAACCAAGCTTCAGCAAGTTGAGTATAAACAAATCTACATCTGAGAGAAAAGTCTCTGTATTTGGTAAAAGGTAATGGTACTTTTATTTGTTATGTTGAAGGAATTCTTACAGCCTTGCACTGATACACTCAGAAAGCAAAACTTAGTTGAGTAGTCTCCGGAGAGAAAAATTCTTACCTAGTTTTCCAGTTTAAAGTGGTTAAAATGTTAAGTTATACTGCTGTAGATGGTGCTAATAAATATATTACCAGATTCAGATCACTATGTCTTAAGAGAATACTTAAGAATCCTAGTTCTCAGATACTACAAAGTGATGAATTCTAAAATAAGGTAGAAGTTTTCTCTAATCCAGAATTTGAGTCTCACACTCTTAGTGATTAACGAGTACTCCAAAGAACTTTAGTCTTTGTGAGCTATTATAATAACCATATTCGAAATTAACCTGAGAGAATGTTAAATATATATTAACTCAATGTAACAACAAGCTCATTTCATGGTAACCAAAACTTAACATGTTCAGGGAGGAGTTCATTTTGTGTATTTGGTTGTTTTTTTTGTTTTGTTTTGTTTTGTTTTGTTTTGTTTTGTTTTGTTTTGTTTTGAGACAGAGTCTCAATCTGTAATCTGGCCTGTTCTTGAACTCACTGCATAGCCCAGGTGAGAGCCTCCTGCCTCAGCCTCTTAAGTGCTAGGATTATAGGAGTGTCCCACCATGTCTGGCTGTTTTTAATTAAAAGCAAAAACCAAATTTCAGAAGCAAAACCATTTCAAAGGAAAGAATGACATTGCTTTACAGTTTGGCAGATCTCTGCAGTGTCTGCTTAACAGAAGACCCCTGTGTTCTGGTGTCTGCTTCTGCAGTCAACCTTTGCAGTACGACAGCAGCCTCTGCAAAACTGCCCTGTGCACTCGTGAAAGGATGCAAGTGGGGAGAGCAAATGACATCTAGTTTTATTATGAAAATGGACTGGACTTTGTGGAGGTCCCTGGATGACACTCAGAATCGCTCTGGAGCAGCTGAGCAGTTGTAGGGCTGGAGGCTGAGGAGGGTTACTGCAGCAGGCTGAAGAGGTCTCACTTCTACCTTCTTGGTTCTGTGGCTAGGCTCCGAACTAAATAGAGGAGGATTCCTGGAAGGAGTGAATTACTAGCTATATGGTTTGGGCAAATCCCCCTCCTTTGCCTCCGTGCCTTCCTTTCCTTGTGTGTAACAGTAACCCGTGGACACAGTAACAGATCTCTCCATGACGAAGTTCCGGGAACTGCTAATTTTTATAGAAGTCTAGCATGTGTCAGGCGCCGCAGTAGCCAGACACTTTTCTGAGCGTTTTGTCCACATGAGGCCCTAATGGATGCCAGAGGCAGCCTTCCTGCAGGGTGCTGGGCAGTGTCAGGGAGCGGGCAGGAAGCAGCCAGGCGTGCAAGGGCGCAGCAGGAAGCACAGAGGGCTCGGTGCAGAGCCTGGCCTGCCGTGCGCATTCCAGGGAGTGGTGTGGGTGGTCACACAGAGCACCACAGTGTATTTTTATTCCCATCTCATTTATCTGTGTTATCTGTGTGACTTTGTATTTTACTCTTTCTATGCTTTAAATAACAGCATTCTGGGTAGTTAGAAAAAAATTTAAAAATTAAACCTTAATGTTTGGTGCTGATGCTAAACTGTAAAATGGCCTTGGCGGACT